CAAATAATCCGAGTCTCGTTCATACAATGAAGATTTTGGTCGAGTTTTAGGAGGAAAAAACCTAAAACCCCCTTGTCCTATGTACTATAAATAGAAGTCAAGCTATAGGATTTAGTACACTGCAAATCTATACAAATCTACTCTTTAGTTTTCGAACAAAGAGCCACTCGACTCAAGTGGAGATCGAGGATAGAATCTATAGGAAGGACACAATTAAGAAGATGTCTTCACCATAGGATTTAGTTCATATATTAAATATGAACTCGGGTTTAACAAATAACAGTACTCATACTATCATAAAAAATACATGGCTAGGGTTCTCAAACATAAGTGAATAGAGGAGTAAGTTACTCCATAGAGAGGAGATAAAAATACAGAAATCGGCTTTTGATCTTCAATCCTCACTTACAAACATATCCTCGAGCTCCAATGGCAAATAAATTCACCAATTTTGCTCCAGCATCACCCATGGGTCGCTCTCCCCCTCTAGGGTTCGTCGCTTGGGTGTTTGGGATCCAAAAACCCATTTCCCCTTCTCCAGAATCATATAACACACATTTATACCCAAGTGCAGAGGCCATGTCACGGCTAGGGTCACTATAATGACTCAGCACTCAGGCCATGACCTGCGAAAATCTTCATTTCAATGGAACTTCTCGGGGCCAATGTCACGACCACGAAGGGAATATCACCCCTCATGCCAATGACATGATGGTTTTGGCTGTGACATGTATAGGTTACTAATATTTCTCTGGGCATGTCACCCATGAATATGAATGTCACCCCATGCCCGTGACATGAGGGTGTTGCCCGTGACATAGGCTTTGGCTCCCCAAATCTTCCGTAATAACCTCCAAAAGCACCAAAACTGGATCTTAAGCTTCCTCGCGTGCTAGGACCAGAAATATGACAAAAGAAACACCACCTAGCGTAAAATAGATTAAACAACAAGTATTCAAAGCCAAACGATCAAGAAACGAAGATCAAAATATGTATAGCTTATCACTTTGCCTAAGAGAGATGGAGTCCTTGGTCTGAAGAATTTGGATGCTAAAGCACTTGTTTGGAGCTCAGTATGGTGCTGGATAGTTGGTATTGTGTGGAAGGAGAGGTATAACGAGCATTCGAGTCTTCTGTCCGAAGTATTAGTGAAGTGAGGAGATATATATGAGATGAAGTCAAGTTGTATAGCTATAATAACTTAGAGTTTGTTCAGAGTATTGCTTCTCAGTATTTTCACACTATTTGAGAGTAGTTAGTTGTTTGAGGGACCTACTTGTAACGAGCTTTAGTTGTAGTTTTTCGAGGCCTAGTATTTTTTTTGTAAAAAACAGAGCGCAAAGGGGCGTCTAACCCTTAATTAGATATAATACGAGTTTGAACTCCAATGTTGTCAAAGTACAACCAATAGCGGAGAGTAGCACTTGGGGTGTCCACAACATGGATCCCAATGGGGAGTGAATGGTCACACGACGCCAAGAAATCTGCTACAAAGTCACATTTCCGAAAAACATGCTTAACGTGGACCTCCCAGTCCATTCCAATCCATCTGCGAATATTAGCGACCATAGTATGATGAGGGTGATTATCCGAGGCTGCCTGAATGAGATTAACTGCTGTTACCGAGTCAGTCTGAACTAGCACCTTCCGGCATCCCGCTTCCCACGCTGCCTGAAGTCCGTAGGATATCCCGACGAGCTCTGCTTGGGTTATGGAACCACTACCTAGATTGGCTGAGAAAGCCTTGACCAGTCTCCCTTCACAATCGCGGATACTGGTCTATTAATCAACTCGGGCTTAATAAGATCACCAAATTACCCATGGGAAAAAACCAACAAGGAAACAATCTTTTAATATTGTGACCATATTAACACTTTTAGTATTATCACTCTATTTGGGCTTAACAAAATACCGCTACCTCGGCTTTCTCATTCTATTCATTAATTATTAATTTATTTAATATATTAAGGGGTCGTTTGGAAGTTGCGAATGTTAAATCGTTGCATTATAATGAATCACCATAATATAAATGTATATATTGATACAATGAATGCATTTTAACAATACATTGTTTGGTTGTTGAGATTCTACTTTATGCATTGATTTACATAAAGTTACTTTTATGAGAAAATGTCACATTTACCCTCAACTTTTAGAATAAGACAAAAACTTTTAGGGATATAAATGTAAAGAAAAAGTTGACACAAATCTAAAACCAACAATCACAACTTTTAGTTGAGATTGTATAATGCATCATTTTTGTGATTGTTTGTGGGACCTACCTAAATAAATGCATGTATTGTTTTACATTTTGACACTTCCAAACATTGTATTGTCATTTTTGTGATTGTTTGTGAGTTACTATTCATTAGTGGCCTCCAAACTCCTTCAAATGCAAGTGGGCAAGACTTTATGTAGTAAGTTTTTCTTCACTCGCATACCATTTTCTAAGCACGTCAATTTTATAAGCCCTAGTTTTACCCCCACTCTCTCATTCCAGAACCTCTGTATTCAGTTATTGTCCACTGGGTCGGCAACTATTGTCTTCTAGGTTTCCCATCATAGTTATTGTATACTAGGTTTTCAGCTATTGTTCGTTAGTTTCTCCATGACACCTATTATCCATCGAGTTTTCATCTATTGTCTGCAGATTTGCGCATGAATTCACAATCGATCTCGAAAAACTGTCTGCGGAATCCTAAGTTGTCTTCCACCATTTGTCATGGCCGCTGCTGAAGATCCATATATACCACCTTGAATTCACCCACCAATTCACAGCCCATCTCGAAACACTATCGGCGAAATTGTAAGCTCTCCTCCACCGTTTCCCACGACTGCTGCTGAATTTTTAGCATTGTGAATTATGTCTTCCCGGTATTGTAACATTCAAAACAATTTCAAATCCTCCTTCCATTAAACTAATCATTGTCATCCCAAACACCAAACTGCCTTTTCACCATTTCGGTCAACATTCCTTTTCACCATTTCGGTCAACATTCAAACTATATTTCTTTAAAGTATTATGTTAATACGTGAAGCAGTAACGAGCTAGACTTATGCTAGTTCTAATTAATATTCGTCTCATTAACCCTACAAGTCAACAAGGTAGAATTCTACAATTTCTAGTGGCTAAAAAATGAATCGATAGGAAAGGAGGAAAATGAAAATAATACAGGTCTCCCTCCAAAATTTGGGCTACTGCTGAAAACGGTACAAATCAAATCAACGGATCTAATTTGCAATTTGGCATAAAATGAAATGGCCGTAATTTTCAGAACCAAAAATATGGAAAGGGAAATTTGTCTTCCAATTTAACTTTTTCTGCCCCGAAGAAGAAAACAGAAAGGGAAGAATCCATTTTTCTCTCCGCCTGTCTCCCTGGGGCTGGCCTGGCAGTCTCCTGCTCTTCTTATAAATTAGCCAAACCTCCCTTCTGCCGGTCCCTACTTCTCTCCTCCACACTCTCTTCTTTCTCTGAATCCGCCGCTGTTTCATCGGTTTCAGTGATCACCCTCATCGCCGACTTTGTCCCCGCCACCTTCACTCTCTGTACGTGATTCACTCCCTTCCCCCACTCTCTCTCTTTATCTCTCTTCTCTCTCTCTTTTATCTCTCTTCTCTCTCTCTCTCTCTGTATCTCTCTGTTTTCACAGTAGCACACAGCAATGCCATTGATTGAGTCCTGTACTGAAATTGAGATAGGAAATCACATAGAATCTGGGATTTGGTTTTCTGGGTTCAGAATTCTCTTTGACTTGCTTTAGATTTTTGGTTCAGTGTCCATACTTTCACAGAGCCCCTCAATCAAACATTCTTTTTTCTCCTGATGAACACGGATTCCCCTGTTTTGGGTTTCTGCCAAAATCAGTCATTGATTTTTGCAACCGCTGAAGAAAAATCTCAAGTTCTACTTAAACTGAAGCTCCTTTCTCCAGAAATAGTTTGGATCACTTCACCGGTTACAAGAATCAATAATTTTATTTTAACCGATTATTCGTGGCAAAAGCCCCCGTTTTGAGAGCCATAAAAGCTGAGAGCAAAAAAGGGCAAGGTGGCAACTTTCCTCGACAAGACCAGTTGGGAATTTTTAGATGGGATCTCGACTGGAAGAACTACAAAACCCAAAAAGAAATGAAAAGGGAAAGACAGAATCAAACTTTTCCGCTTCGCCCCCATCTCATACACTCTGTTTTCCTCCCTGTAAAGTTATCCCACTCGATGTAAAAGGATGAACCTGGCTTCTTCTTCCTGCATATGAATTCCTTTTGTTGCTTCTTCTTCTTCTTTTCCCCAAAGCAGGCTGTCGGCAGTTTAGGTGTCCACTGCCACTGCCACTGCCACTGTTCCTTCTTCCTATTCTCTGTTTTTTTAATTGGAGCCCATTTCCTTCTTCCATCGGTTGCTCTGCCACTAATTTAATACCGACCCAACACAACTGGTTCAATTTTCTTTTAATTTTCTTCAACCCAGTGATGGGAATCGTTTGGCAAACCAATTTCTCACCTCTCAACACTGCAACTTGCCATTTGATTATTCCCATGGTTTTTTGTTTCCATGCGTAGACTTTCCAGTATCTTGGCCGACTAAGAAATATCTTCTCATATCTAAGCCTAATTAATCCCTTGCTCAAAAAGCAAAATGGTAGTTTGATTTATAATAATTACCAATGGGTTTGCTTCTGTGTCCTTTGTCCCCCCAGGTTTCTCCGCCAGAAGAGAGCTTCATCCGCTTCCCCTTTCTCTGATCCGCAGGTTTTTTTGTTTATCCCATCAGAACACGACGAAATGACGGCGGAGACTATGGCCAAACCAAAGGTCTTTTTACCAAATCCCATATCAATTGCTTTAATTAGAAAGTGGTGTTTTATCAAATGGCGCTGAAAAAAGTTCTCTGCTTTGTCACACAGTCAGCTTGGGTCGGCGTCAGGAGATGGTTCAATTCACAGAGCAAAGCCGCCGACGGGTTTCATCCCGATTACTCTTTTGTCGGAGGTAAAAACGATGTCTCTTTCTCTCTACTTCCATATACTTAAATTCAGCTTTCCCAATTGGAATGAAAACGCAATACAATTCCTAATAAATGGTCTCTGTCCCCTGCGGCACGCAGAAGGGCATGCTCCGGCGAGACAGAGTAGCTCCGGCGACGACTACTACGGTTTCTCCGGTAATTATCTTTCTTTTCCCCCCTTCCTGACTTCAACTCTGAGCCGTCAGATCAGCTTGCTGGTTTTGATTAGACATATACGATTCTATCACGGTTGGTGGGGGCCGTTGGAGAAAGGATTGCGATTTGCCACTTTCTCGTCGTAGCTCAATAGGCTTTTAGGTTGTACTTGCTCCTTCACCTTTTCCCCCACTTTCTAATCATCTCTCTCCCTCTTTCTTTCCCTCTTCAACTAAACAGAAGGGCTGTTAACGGAAGCTGTCGACTGTCTCAAACCGGCGAAAATGGCGGCCCAGTCGCCGCCGCCGGTGGAAGACTCTGTAAAACTCAAGTAAGCACCTCAATTCAATTTAAAGATCATTTTTTTTACCCATTGCGTGAGATGGGAATTCGTTTTGTAACACTTTTTACCCATTGTTAACAAACAGGTTGTTCGTGGGGACATGGAACGTTGGTGGCAAATCGCCCCACGATGGATTGAACTTGAAAGATTGGTTGCGATCCCCTTCTCCTTCTGATGTTTACGTTCTTGGGTAATTTAATTATTCTTTCCCCTCCCATTCAATTCGATTCGGCCGCCGGTGGAATCTTTGCCCTGAAGTCAATTTTTCCCCCCTCTGTGATCAGGTTCCAGGAAATTGTACCGTTAAACGCCGGCAACGTACTGGGCCCGGAAGACAGTGGGCCGGCGACGAAATGGCTGTCCCTGATCAGGCAGGCACTGAACGGGACCAAGTCGGATGAAGAGCTCTGTCAGTACTATGCCGCCGCCGTCGAGCACAAGTGCGGAGCTTCGCCTCGCCCGAGGCCCGATCAGATGGTGAAACAGAGGCTGAGCTTCTCCGACTTGATCTCCATAGAGGACGAGCTCGGAAGAGAAGATTTCCAACGATTTGTGGCCTTGAATTCGAACATGGGATCTGAAGCCCTGCCTAGCCCGAGAACGAATCTAAGTGGCGCCGCCGGCGACGATGGGAGTAAGAATCCGACGAAGCCACGGTACCGGCTGATGGTCAGCAAACAGATGGTCGGGATCTTTCTTTGTGTGTGGGTTCGTGCTGATCTGAATGAACACATAAGCAATTTGAAGGTCTCATGTGTCGGTCGTGGCATTATGGGATACCTTGGAAATAAGGTTAGTCAGATTTTGATTAGGCTGGATTGTTATGATCTAATCACGACACGTTTTTTCAATTATGCTTTTTTCTTATATCGATCAAACTTTTGTTCCTTCTTTTTTATAAAAATTGGACAGGGCTCGATATCGATAAGTATGACGATCTACCAGACGACGTTTTGTTTCGTGTGCACGCATTTAGCTTCCGGGGAAAAAGAAGGAGACGAAGTCAGAAGGAATTCCGATGTCTGTGAGATATTGAAGAAAACCAGATTCAACAATCACTCCTATGGAGATTCGCTCTCTCCTGAAACCATACTGGATCACGAGTAATTCACCTAATTCAAATCTAGAATCTCCTTGCATCAATACGAATTATGATTAGATACAAGTGGGAAGCCACAGGAAAAAATTTTAGATTTTCCATGTTACTCATCCTTTGAATTCCAAAATTTTGCAGCAACATCGTTTGGCTTGGAGACTTGAACTACCGGCTTGCAACTACCCATGTAGAAACATGTGAATTGCTAGAGAGGAATGATTGGGAAGCACTCTTAGAGAAAGATCAGGTGAATTGGAATACTCTAACTCTTGCAAAGTTGCAATCTTTATCCCGTTCAGAATCTTTTTACTCATTTTCATATAGGCTAATTTTTGTTGTTGTTGTTGGCAGCTGAAGTTAGAGCAGAAGGCAGGGAGAATATTCTCAGGATGGGAAGAAGGGAGCATACACTTTGCTCCGACGTACAAGTACCTAATAGATTCCGACTACTATGTCGCCCAGGCTTGTAAGTCGAAAGACAAGCTGCGGATTCCGGCATGGTGCGATCGAATATTGTGGAAAGGTGAAGCACTGAAACAACAATGGTATATTAGAGGCGAATCCAAGTTCTCTGACCACAGACCCGTTTCCTCATCGTTCGTGGTCAACGTGAGGGCAAAAGAAAGTAATGTTAAAAAGAAACTTGTCAAATCGTCGTCGTCGTGTCGCAAACCTTCCTCCAGGTTTTGCCCAACAAAGTCGTCGCCGAGCACCATTCTTCCCGGCGTGGCAAAAATTCAGGCGGAAGAGCTACTTGTGATTCCGGCGACGGCCGGCCCTCGGCTGTCGTTTTGTCGCCCGGTTCATTAGCATAAAAAGTTAATTATTGAAAACGTATGGGTTTAGGCGGTGGGTCCCTGGCTGAAATTTTAAACGGTATAGGGGGCGGCGTGATAGGCCTGGGTGTGTTGGGTGTTCGACACGTGTGCAACGGTGATTGAGGGTACAGGGAAAGTTGCATGAGGTGCAAGACAGTAGGATGAGTTTTATTTAGTGTTTTCTTGTGTTTGATTATTTTATTCATGTAGGAGAAGGTTTGTAGAGTTTGTGATTACCATGAGAAAATTTTCAAAATAGTCAAAGAAGATAAAGGCTATAATATAAATTATAGACTTTTTTATTTTTATCAAGAGAATAACACCATGTTGTTAAACCCGGATCAAACCATCAAATTCGCCTTGAAAAAATCATACCCGAACACAAATTAAGTCTTATCAGCCTCAAAATGGCACGATTCTTTCCTCACGCGTCATGTTCGATTAGAGCAGTTACCTCATCAAATCGAATTGCATGTTTGTGAGTTGTTTTTAATTATGTATTTTACAATAAAAAAATATCTTTAGTGGGACCACATTTAATGAGACCACTAGGGGTCAAAATCGGTACAGTATCAGTATCCTAATAACAAATATCGAAATCTTGAACACTGAAAAAAAAGTGGCATGTGTTTGGCAGATATATATTTCGCGAAGGTTGTTACTACTTCACATTCTGTTTTCTCGTTGACTACGCGTTAGGTGGCTTTGTGGAAGTCTCAACAGAGTGCACACTCTTCTGATTGGTTGTGTGTTGTTCCTATTGTTGGGTTGGGCCAAACTATGAATGGGAGGACATATCGCAGTGTGCTTAGTTATCGACTGGGTGTCTGTTTTCGGTATCTAAGCCATGTCTTGCTTGCTCCCGTGTCTTTCCTGGTGATATCTTTGGGGATCATGTTGTGTCCTGTGCTGGTTTTGTGGGCATTAAGCATCGACACAACCTCGTCTGTGACATCCTATTGGACAATCTTTTACAGTTCCGGGATTTCTGCTAGTAGGGAGGTTGATATTGGTTTGGTTGATGGGCATGGCAGACCCCTTCGTCCTGCGGATTTGTTGCTTTATTCCTGGGACAGGGGGCAAGATGTGTGTGTAGATTTGACTGGATCTTCACCTTTGACTCATACTGGGATGATTAGATTTGTACCTGGCCAAGTTGTTGCTGATAGGGATGGCAAAAATATCCGTAACCGTGGATATCCACCCGAATCCGGCCTAATCGGGTAGGGTAAAACCCGAACCCGAAGAACATTTAGTGGGTACGGGTAAAACCCGAACCCGAATATTGCGGGTAATGGGTGGGCATGGGTTTCTAACTATCTAACCCGTACCCGCCCGATTATACACATGCATGTGTATTTTCTCTAGAAATAATTATTATTTTTCTTTAACATATTTTATATTTAGCATATAAATATAATATTTTCATGAAATTGTGTTGTTTTAGTTAATTTTCTTCAGTCTAGTGAACTATTGTTGTACTTTTCCTCTTACGTAATGTGAGAATACGTGTGAATGTTAACATATTAGTTGGAGTTATGAAGAGAAATTATTATCCATGGATAACCGTGGATACCCGAAACCCGAACGGGTATGGACATGGTTTTAATTTTCTACCCGTTTCACATGTGGGTATGGGTATGGGTAAAACCCGAACTACTTTGGATAGGGTAACGGATATGCACTATCCGTCCCCGACCCGACCCATTGCCATCCCTAGTTGCTGATGCTGCTCAGCGAAAGTGTGCCAAGTAGAGGGACTTGTGTATGGCAGCTGGTTATGGTTTCCTGCCCTTTTCCTTTTCTATACAGATGTCTTGGCTTTGCTCAAGAGGATCAAGAAATTCTCCATGTCTCATGATGTAGGGGCTCGGGCGGCCGCGTACATTTTTACTAGACTTAGTTTTGCTATAGCTAAGGGAGTGGGGACCCAGATTGTATCTCGGATACCCACTAATTTTTTTTGTAGACCTTTGTTTGTTCTAAAAATAAAATTTATAGGGATAAATAAAAGATAGAAAGTTGTCACAAAGTTGATATGTATGCTCTAGAAAGGTGTTTCTTGGCATCCAAACTATTGAAACGCCTACTTGTTTGCTGACCTCTTTCACTACTACGATTGAAAAAATTGGATAGCAGGTGTAACCGAGAAAGTTTGTCTGAATGTAGTTCATGATTGGTTGTGGTTTGGAAGAAAGGAAGTGTGTTTTCTGGCTGATGCTAGTGGCCATTGCTTGTATGGAAGGTTCTAGTCAAAATCATAGAATCTTTTGTTGGTTTTAGGTTGAAGATGTAGAACCTCATGCTATGTTTGCCACCACCCAAAAAGTCTTTCTCCATGTCAAAGACCCTAGCCAATCATCTAAACCGGCGTCTAAGAGGTTTTGATATACTGGATTCCTTGGCCATTTGGGCCATCTATCTAGGCGAGTTAGGGCAAACCTCAAACTTCGATTTAGCACTTTGGTTTGGTTTTTATTTTGTCACCTGGATTAAGTTCTGAGGGAGTAGCGTTGGCAACCCTTGGTTGAGCAGCCAAGAGAGCTAGTTTGCTAGCTTCATTTATTGTGCCTTGACATATCACCCAAGAGAGTGAAGTTTCTTCACTTATTGTGCTCTCCTTTATTTAGCACCCTCATTGGTTGTTATTTTGCTTTCCAGATTAAGTTGTGAGGGATTAGTTTGGAAACCCTCAGTTAATTTTCCAATAGAGCTAGTTTTCTAACTTAATTCATCATTCCTTGCCCTTCCAACCGAGAGAGTGAAGTTCCTTCACTTGCTGCACCCTCCTAACGCTGTATGAACACACCTTCACACAATTGCATTCTATTCGACGATCTTGATATGTAGCTAGGGGGAGCAATATCTGGGTGAATTCTTATCTTATTGGGACAACCTCGATTTACTTTACTTGCTTGTGTTTCTTTATAGCTTTCTTAGTCTTAAACCCAAAACAATTTGCTAGATAATAACTTAAGCGATTGAAGTAGGGGTACATAGACTAGCCTGGGTTGACAATTAAAACACTTGCTCTATACAACACCCTTCTAGAGTTTATACTTGGGCTCTAGTCGGAAATTTCTTTGGTGGTGTAGTTAATAATAACTATAGTTTTTATTACAATGTCAATTGCACACGATGGTCTTTTAATTTATCAAATTCATCAATGATTGAGTCGTAATGCATACCAATAACATACTCTTTCTCAAAGAAAATTGTTAAGCAATCTGCAAGATATTCATCACCCATTTTGTTGCGATAATCAGTCTTCGCATGTTTCATTGCTGAAAATGATCTCTTCATAGTAGTTGTTGAAACGAACAATGTCAACACAAGATGAGTCAACCGACATATCAATTTGTACTTTGTGTCCATCTCTATTTCCACCAACTTCTCTAGTAAGTTTGCAAGGGATAAACTTCATATTCATGACTACGAACCACATGGTCGGCATAATATCCTAGCTCATTCTTCAAAATATGCATATCATTTCCTTCAAAAGTCTTGAGGATAAAAATCTTCAGCAAGTTTGTAAATCTTTTCTTCATCAAAAGACCGAAATGAATTTTTAGGATCTAGTGCATCATTCAACTTAAGCAATCGAACTGATGACACATTGAATCTTGCATCCAACGTTACTAACTGAAAATCTATGCATTGATTAAATTATTCAAAATGGTAGCGGTGCTCAAGAGTTGTTTGCTTCTCAGCAACGTCCAAGTGTAGCATTCAGATTAGGTACCTCTATGGCATGTTCCGAGCAAAAAGATTTTACCTCTTGGATTAGCTTATCCCATCTTTCATCTCGTCCCTAATCTGACCATGTAGACAAACTGACCCGTCCCATCCCCTGTCCTTCAGGGACGGGACGGGTCAGTGGGTTTACCGGGTCAACCTTACACCCCTAGCGGCAACCCATGAGTCGGGTATCTCTAAATCAAACCCAATGAGCAATATAATGGACTTAAACTAGAACCCGACCTAAACTCCGTCAAATTGGATTTTACCCATCTTAACCGAATTGGTTCGGCTAGAGAATTCGTGTGTTCAGGTTTTGTTGCCAAGTCCTTTCACTAATGAGGTTGAAGTCCCAACAAGCCGTCGTTATTTGTTTGTCCCCCCGCCATAGGCAGCAAGAGCCAAGAAGTAGTTAGGCCCAATCCTTTGACGCGCTAGTCCACGGAACACGGGCCTCAAAAGCCCAAAATACAACTCATAGATCATAATCGTATTGGGCTGAGTTGACGCTCAATTGCCAACGGACGGAGTGCTCCCCACCACGTGTACGGCCTCGATAAACCTTCAGGCGGACGCGTCGTGCGAGGCACCATCTTATAGTACCATCTCCTCACCAAAGAAAACGACAGCCCAAAACCCAAAATTTCCAGTTCGGCTTTCCATTTCCCCTAACCCGCAACCCACCCTCCTGGATCTCGCCGCAATCACTGTCCGTACGATCGCCGGTAAGCTTCCCCCGTTAACTGTAGACAGGAGCTTTCTCCTTCCTTGATCATTGACAGTACTGTCATATGATGAGTTCCATAATTTGATTTCCTCTGTTTTTTTTTTTTTCCTTCTCACCATTCCTCCGAATTGGAGATCTCTCTTCCTAGCTCTATTTGGTTAGGTAGGAGTTGATTGGATCACTAGGGTTAGGCTTCTTCTGGCCTGCATTTTCTCATCACTTTCATTTGACAAGGAAAGATGGGAACTTTTCTAACCTGCTTCTTTTGGCATTTCAATTAATGGTGCTTTGTGACTTGAGTTTAATTGCTGAAAAAATGAAGCGCGGTTCAGTAAATCGATCACCCAATTCGTACCTTGTTTGAATCTACCCTATCTTTTCGTTTCTTATATGCAGGTCTTAAGTGAAAAATGGCTAATTGTTGCTGCTTTATTTATTGGGTTGGTTCTTGTAGGTACTCTGCCAGAGAAGGGTGGGCTGTCAGCTTGCATGTCGTGGAAAGATCTGCTAGCTGGAAGTAGCAATTAGCGAGAAATGGTATTGTACCCGAAACTCAGGCTAAATTGAATCTCTATTTGACTATTCAGATACCCATTGCATTAAATGTTAAGCTAGAATTAGCTGCTACTTGTAAACTTGATGCCTTCTGCATGTACTTAGCGGGATAGATCTTTCCAAGTTGTTTTTCCTGAGCATGTTAATCTAGCTTGGGTTCTGATATATGTTGCTTATGTGCCGTCAAAATGGATAATCTAATTTCTTGTTAAGGTACATTTTTCCTTTCTCCTCCGGCACTGGATAGAAATGACACTCAGTGATGTTTCTTCAACCAACCTTGAGGAATATCGTGATATGGTGACATGTATATATCAATTTATTAACAACAGGCGTGTCTCTCTCAGCATCATAGATTGAGAGGTCTAGGGTACTGGGATGTCCTTTCTTATGTCATTTCGTTGCCCTTCTTTTCATTGTGTTGTTTGATTCCATGCTGCATTAGTTTGGTTTCTGAGTGCTAATTGGTTTTACTTCAGAATGCGTTCTGTCTTAACTCTCTGTATATGTGATGACTTACCCTGACAGTCGTTTCAGAATCAAGGATTTTGGATGGGGAAAAGTGTTGGTTGTGTAAATAGTGGAGATGATAACGAGGATCCTTCTAGAAGTGATGCTAAGCGTTCTCATCAGTGGATCATGGATGCTGCTGAGGCAGAGCTGTTTCCCAACAAGAAGCAGGCAGTAGGAATTCCAACCCATAATTTGTTTACAGGACTGTTGACGTCAAATATTCCTCCCTGGGGCAATCCTTCTAGTTTCCAGTCAATCACTGGCCAGTTCACTGACCGGTTGTTTGATCCTGAGCCCTCTAGGACATCCAATTTCGATGAGAGAAACATTGCATCCGTTAGCTCAGAGAAATTTGACGGGGATAAGAGGAAGATAGAAGATGATCCCTTCGGAAACACTTCTTCATTTGGTTTGTCCATGTCTCATACACTAGAAGATCAGCGTTCTGGCATAAACTATAGTGGGATCAGAAAAGTGAAAGTCAGCCAGGTCAAAGAGTCTGAGGGTCTCATGCCTGTGTCCCTTGACAATGCTTATAGTAGGGTAGACTGTAGCAATTTAGGAACTGGTGATGCATATGAGAAAAGAGATGACGCTTCAATGTCCATGTGTCTTGCTTACCCAAAAGCAGATGGAAGCATAATGTCGGTTGGTGAATCCTTTGGCCAGGACCATAGTGGTGCCTTCATATCAATGGGACATGCCTACAGTAAAGGGGAAGACAACAACTTGTCAGTCAATCAATCATACAAAGAGACCAATGAATCTCTTGTAATGGGTCATGGGTTTCCCAAGGCTGAGAACAATAATCTTGTTACAATGCCACCACAAGCCTACACTAAGGTAGAGGAGAACAACATTGCGATTGCGGGGAACATGTACAGCGGTGGAGGAAACGAGAGTAATATCTCCTCAATGGGTCAGTGGTACAACAGCGGTGACATGAGCTGTTTGTCGATGGGTCAGTCTTATAGCAAGGGAGAGAGCACCATAATATCATTTGGTGGTTATGATGAGGATGATTCAAACACTTCTGGGCGTCTATTATCCAGTTATGAACTGTTGAGTCAAACTTCAATCCAAGGATTGGATGCAGCAAGTGGAAAAGAGTTGGGTAAATCAAGCTTTGGTGCCCTTGTGTCTTCAGCTCGGGGAGCAACTGCCTCTGGAACTGGAAGCGATTCTAAGAAGAAAGATGATGCAAAAGCATCAAAGAAAGCTCCTCCTAACAACTTTCCTTCGAATGTCAGAAGTTTGCTTTCTACTGGAATACTTGATGGATGTCCTGTGAAGTATGTTGCTTGGTCACGAGAGGTACTGTTACTTCATAATCTTTATTGTTGAAGTCTTGTCTTCCTAATGTGCACTAGGAGCTCATTCTTTCTCTCTTGTTATGCACTTCAGAAGGAGCTCCGTGGAATCATAAGTGGTACAGGCTACCTATGTAGTTGTCAGTCATGCAATCTTTCCAAGGTGAACATTTGAAATAATGATTTCATAATTGTATGTCCCAAGTTCATGATCAATACATGCGAGGTCATGAGGTAACTAATAACTCTACAGGTGATCAATGCATTTGAATTTGAGAGGCATGCTAATTGCAAAACAAAGCACCCAAATAATCACATCTATTTTGACAACGGTAAGACAATCTATGGGGTTGTCCAGGAGCTAAGGAGCACACCACAGCACATGCTGTTTGATGTTATCCAGACAATCACTGGTTGTGCTATCAATCAGAAGTCATTCCGTCTTTGGAAAGGTGATGATGCTTTTGGTCTAGTGTGTTATTGTTTTTGGATGCAATGGGGCATGTTTGAATTGGAGTTCTGACCCAGTCGTTTTTTCTTCTTTGGTTTCAGAATCGTTTCTGGCTGCAACTCGTGAGCTTCAACGTATATATGGGAAGGATGAAATGAAACCCCATGTGATACAGCAATAGATGTGATTTAAGGTTGAATTAGCAGCTTGTTTTTTGTGCATAAAAGGTGGTCTCTCTTCCTATGGCAAATGTTTTCTCTCGCTTCCCACCTACTGAAGGCTGGCCGGCGGCCAGTGGATGTTTTGCAATATGTGGGAGATTAGTTATGGTGGTGGGACTAAGCTGGGTGAAGCTGGTGGTGGGTCACAGGACCTTTCCTAACCTGCGGGTTTTGATATGTATGACAGTGGGGGGTATATGCCCCATTCTCTTAAAAGGGTAAAATGGAATTTGAACATGTGGTGGTATTTTGCTTTGGGGTGGAAGTTTGTGCAATATTTTTGTAGTTATATCGCCATTCTTCCCATGATGTTTGAGTCTGTATTATATCACTACTATTGCAGGATGCTTCTTTGTATTGTATCAGTTAATGGAAAATGATGTCCAGTATATATGTCTGGATTGATTCAGTCTGCCGGGCAAATGGGACTCCAATCTCGGTAGGTAAACTGGCCTACCAAAAGTACAGCGACACTTCTGGCTCAGAATAATAGTCTCAACTCACAAAAGAGGACCACCTTGTCTGATGACCAAAGTGGTGGGGGCTTTGCTCTATTATACAAGGCATTGTGCTTTCTCCAGCATATTAAAACACATAAGGGCCATATGGAGGTGTAGAGGTGTCAAAATAGAATCCGCTCCAAGTAGTCTGTCCATCCATTCAACTAGTAAATTGAGTTGGTTAAAAGTCAATGACTCGAATGTTGTTTAATTGAGCCTATCCATCCATTCAACTGGTAAATTGAGTTGGTTAAAAGTCAATGACTCGAATGTTGTTTAATTTGCAATCCAATTGACTTGCAATTTGGTTTACCCACAACCCGATTAATCTAAACTTGATTGGCCCGTAACTTGGTTCGGGATGTTCCCTTAGCCTATTTTACGCAAGGTTGCCCTTGTTTGTGTATATTCTAGATTCTAGCCGGTAAATCTGGGGAAGGGGCGGATGTTGGAGGAGTTGGAGCGAAAACGGGACAAAAGAGCATAAGATATGGTGAAAGTCTTGACCAGGTGTCCAGGTTCACGACCTAGTCGTGACATTCGCTGAAGTGAGTGTGACAATGTATAGATTGACAGGGATCTCCGGATTGTGCACGACCTGTCTCACGATTTGATCGTGAGACGCGATGAAGAGGTCGTGAGACAAAGCAAAAATGGTGGCACCTTGGTTAGAGTCACGACCAGGCGTTAATTCGGATTCGGATGGTCGTGACTCTGGTCATGACTTTGTGATGCAAGCTATTTCATGGATTTTCATTGTTTTTCTCACTCTAGCTATGGATTAGTTCTCCATTTCACTTAGGTGTTGTACCCTAGTTAGTATGTTTTTTTTTATAAATAACCCTAGTTAGTATGTTGTAATTGATTATTTGTGAACCCTATCCTTCATTTGCATCTTGATCATATATTGAGTTGAGTATTATTCATGAAAATTGATGGTTCTTGATCACTTCCCTCAATTTGGGGCTAATTAACCTAGGTGAGAGAATATCTACCTAGAGTTGATTTAGAGCATTGACGATTCAACACGTGGGTCTATGAGCGAGTGTGATTAGATTCTTTGTGTCATATCAGGTTTTACACAATTCTGAGAATTGTTGTGGTTGCCTCAATTACCTAGATCAGTTGTACCGCCTCACTGGGTAGTGTAATTGAGCAAATTGGATAACCCGAATAGCGAGTCCTATCTAGATTAGAGCTCCCCGTGGTATATGCTAGTGTGAATCAATTAGGGTGTCACAACATCGATACAACGTAGACTAGGGGGAAGCACATCCCGGTGAAACTTTTCACTTTCGTGCTTGCTTAGTTTTGGTAATTCAAACATCAATCGGGTTGCTAGATAACGTGTATTCCATTGAAGTAAGGATATATAAGTCACCCGTGTTTATATTTGAAATACTTGCTCTATACTACACCTGGTTAGAGGTTTCACTTGGCCTTTCATCAAGATAGCTGTAGTAAGCGACGAGCATCAAATTTTTCTTGCACCTTTGCCAGGGAGCATGACTTATTATTCGGAATAAGTGAACTTTGTTAATCTATCTTTTATTTTCTTGCAATTGAGTAGGATCTTCCACACGTTTGTGTATGCTTGAAGTGAGTTTCAATTGGTATATGACTCGGAGCAACCCGGATCACTTGGAGCCACTAGACGACAACATCAATCGCACTCTCCGACATCTTGGATGAGCGAGGGAGTTAAGGGATCTGCACAAAAGGATCTGTTAAATCACAAGCGCCAATTCCCCCAGAAACAGCAGCATCAACGATGATTTCGCAATGGTGCAAGTAGATGATGGATTCCATTAAATCTTCTTCAGCGCATACTGAGGAAAATGGGGGTAATCAAATCTCATTACAGTGAAGTAGAGCGGTCAATGGAGAGGATATTCCATTTGAGAGAGATCCTACACTTTAGTCAATATCAAAGCAGACATAATAATACAATTCCCCAAATGACAAACGATCTAAGCAATTCATACCCAAATGTTGGTGTCCTTGATTGTTTTGGTAGTGTTGTAAAATAATTGATTAGGAGAATAATACAAGCAGCATAGACCACAATAGTCAGATAAACAAAATCCAGTTCCCACCAACAAGCAAGAGACTTAGCCGTACGATGAAGACAACGAGGGTATCCCTGTAATCTGTGTTTAAAACCCCCTTGTTTATGAACCACAGCAAGCAGACTTTTGTGCAGCCTGGCTGGCACCTCCAGCCTGGTCCGGTTGATTAATCTTGATCGTCTGTGGCTGCAGAATCCAACAAATCGTAGGTGAGAAAAGGAAGAGCCACCAGTCGCACCCCCAAGGTTAACCCTCATCTCACTAAGAAATGATTCCAAGTCCAAAATCCAAATCCTCAAATCCGAAAACAACCCAAGGGAATAGTCTCAGTTTAAGGTTTCAGTTAGCCTTTATCAGGTTTCCTGCAAATTTCAGCTTCCCTTAGCAAGTCTCCAACGGGGGGCAAACATTACAGAGGGATTAACTTTTAAAGGGAAAGCAGAACTGGCCATAAAGAAAGAAAAGGTTAAGACTAATGTGAATGAAGCACCTGCCACCAGGAATCAACTATCTGGGCCTCAATTATGGCATATGGCATTAATATATATTCAACATCCAAATCCCAATGCATAAGGGAAGTTATTCTACTTGCTCCTTTCAAATGCCCTATTTGTCTATTTCATCATTCATTAGATAAACCAGACATACAGAAACATAAATGTTACCTCGGACTTTGAATCAGTATCTGCAAGTCGTTGCTTGATGTCCCTAGCTATTGAAAAGAAAACTTCTTCCACATTTAAGTTCGTCTTAGCACTCTGCATGACATAACAATCGTATGATATATAAGAGAATTTCATACCCTTTTCAACAAACAGGAGTAATAGTTACTACTTACAGTCTCAAAGAACTTGATGCCATATTCATCTGCAAGCGCCTGGCCTTTCGAGGTAGGAACAGCCTGAAGTTACATTTCAATTTTCTCAACAGCTTTGTACAAATATAAACCACTTCCTCAGTCATAAACAGAAGTAAAATCCCAAACAGTTTAAAAGCATACCCTCTTGCTCTCATCCATGTCCGCCTTGTTTCCCACCAAGATCTTGTTGACATTGTCAGAAGCATGTTGTTCAATGTTGCGAATCCAATTCCTAATATCTAGGGACACAAGCATAAATCATTCCAACCACAAACTTAAAAAAGAGACAGGTTAAAGACACGAGACGACAAGGGAACCAAAAATTCAATGTAGTAAAAGAAAAGAATTTACTGTTGAAAGATGACTCGTCAGTGACATCATACACGAGTAAAATGCCCATTGCTCCCCGGTAATAAGCTGCAAAAGAATTTTACTTTAGCAAATCTTTTCAATTATATTAAGAAGCAAATTATTTAAACAATAACGAAATGAGATGGAACAATGGAAAGCCAAATTCCGAAGCATGCAAATCATGAAGTGAGAATCCTAGCACAGAAGCACTAAAGCATAAAAAATCAATACAGGGAGACCAGACAGAGATCATTTGTTCATAGGCATCAAGACAAAAGGCAGGCAAAAACAACCCATACAAGGAAGCATACCAAAGACACCATCTAGCGACTAAATAAGAAAGAAAGAACCAAGCTGTCATTGAGTTATATAATAATGGAATAAAAACTACTGAGAGGAGAGCCTGTTCCATAATAATGGAATAAAAACTCATTTCCACAAGACACTGGATCCCTTAACAAAATTCAACACCAAAATGATCAAACCACTAGCCACAAAAATAAAAACAAAATGACTGCCTTAGTCATTACAATTAAGATCGCTACATAATTATTTCAACAAAAAAAACTGCATTCACAATAAATATAATAACTGAAATCCAGTATATTATAAAACCAATATCAATGTCACACTTCCTACGAAAAGAAGATGCATGTAGCACTGTGGGGCAATACCCAGATGTAAGTCGCATCATACACATTAAGAAAAATGATTATTATAAGTTAGCAATTTTTCGAGAAGGATCAAGTGCTTGAACAGATCAGCAACAACACTAGTATACACCTATAAAATCAAACCCTAAATTGAATGATTTCTTCCATCATGGAAAGCCACTGTTAGATATTATCATAGCCCATACTAATATTTGGTATCAATTGTTGTCTCCACATGGATACATTGAAATTAGAAAAGAGCCGTAATAATCTCCAATCAGACATGACACCAGAGGGTATGATCCTTTTATATGTATATACAAATTGTATGGACCTGGCCGAACTGTGGTTGTTATATAGAGGGAAGAACATGTAAGCAGCGATATGTGTTTCAACTCTTAACAGCAATCCAGATAGAATTGCGATGCGTCTTTCTTAGGAAATGTAAGAATGTGGCTCTGGTTACAGAACAAGAAAGCACCACTTTTTCCCGGTACCCAAAAACACATAATAGAGAAAAGCTAAAATCCCAATACCATTGAACATCAAGTTTGTGTTCCCTTATAACGCCCTTAAGCCCCAAGACTAACCGGTTGTAATTGTACGGAAACGCTCTTGACCAGCAGTATCCCATATCTGCAACTTAATACGCTTCTGATCAAGCTCAATTGTCCTTATCTTGAAGTCAATGCTGTTGGAAAGGAAGAAGAGAATATTTCAAAAATCAGAAGCAATTCCATACTGAACAAAAAGAAAATCACGGCTTCAACCAACTTCAGAAGTTGTTTACCCAATGGTTGTTATGAAACTTGTGGTGAAGGAACCATCTGAAAAACGTAGAAGGAGGCAACTCTTACCCACACCTACAAATCACAGAACAAAAATCAAGTAAGTATGTGTACCGAAAACAACAACTGTACTAGCAGGAACACAATAATGATAACTGATCAGGGAAATCGCAGTAATGGAATGCTCCAGAAACAACGATAAAGCACTCCACTTGGCTCCCCCAACTTGTAGGCTTCAGTGAATGTAAGCGAAAACGCCACATCATTCCGTCAATCTATAGTCACATAAACACGGCTTGTGCTAAACTAAGTTGGCGTTCAAGTAATAATACCCACAACAAAGTAAAGCTTCAAATATGTTCCACTGAATGGTGTAACACTAAACATTCAACAACCTCCCACCTCCACAAAGCGCAACCAGAATCATGGTCCAATACAAGCTAAAAAAAGTATCCACAACTCTAAATCACACTTCTCCAACCAGCAGGGCATATCCTAGGCTTCCGGTTCCACCCACAACAGATAACGGGGTGAAATACCAACCTAAGAAAGAAACTGAACTGAAAACAACGTAGGTGCAGAGGATCAATGTAAGCATCCACTGATTTCAAGAGCATACTGAAACTCTCCTCTCCGCTATCAAGATCCACGACAGTTCCTCCCAACTCCCCAACTACGAAGACTAACCTAGAAGCATTTCCTTAAGCACGCACCCAAAAAAAAAATTAACCGACAAATCATACAAATGCATTTTAATCAGAGAAATTCAAATAAAGGCCTCCCCAACAAGAGCAGAGAAACCCGTACCGCTATCGCCGATCAAGAGGAGCTTTATGAGGTAATCGTAATCGGCGCGAGCTCTTGCCGGCGGAGCAGCCATTGATTCGAAGCGGAACAAATTGACTTCCTTTCAATCACAAATCCAGGGAAGGAAGAAAACCTACAACACGGAGGAACAAATGGTGAGGGGAAACCGGGAGAAAGAAGATAAGAAAGGGGAAACAAAAGAACCGAGCGCCGATGAATCGTTACCGGATCAGGAAGAAGAAGAAGAGGGAGATGAGATGAGATCTAATTAAAACCAAAGTGGGGGAAGAAAGGAAAATGCAGGATGAAGAGGGAAGTGCCTTCTTCAGATACGTCAGGCACCGGTCTGGCCGTTGAAAAAAATAAAAAAAGAGAAATTAATCAGGAAAAAAAAAATATTTGGGAAGAGAGAGAAATTATGATGAAGCGATTCGACCTGTAAGATGTATGAATCACTTTTAAGCCGTCAGATCCTTGGATTGGTGGAGATCGGTGTCGATCCAATGGTCCCAATCCGACTATTAATACTTTTCTATGAATGGCCAATTATTGAACTCGTCAATAATGGTGGAGATTTCTTTTTCCCTGGAGCGAGATGGAGACTGACTACTGAGAGATCGAAACGACATCGTATCCAGGGACACGCTGACGTTTTTTTTTTTTCTTCAAAATACCTAATTGCATTTTTAATTTTGTCTCTCTTTTTTACAAATTATAGGGAGGAGGATTATATCGTGGTTTAAAATTCAAAGCAGAGATAACGAGCCTAAGTATCTTAGCAATGAAGGTAAATACTATTCAAAAAAATTCATTATAAAATTATTCAACTTATTAATGTCGAAGATAAACCATATGGTAGAATCCTTTGGAGGGGAATTTATCATAATATAATTGAGAGAGGCGTTTGGGTTGGGCCACTGTAAGAAGTTGAACGTGTGGTGTAGTGGGTATCTTTGGGGCCTAAGTGGCCCATTCCTTTCAGGCTTTTATGTTAATGGGCTGTGGTACTCAAAAAATTGGCATTTGTACAATCGGCTCAAATAACACTAAAATTTTACTTAAATGGAGTTGAGTCATGCTTAGACTTTTTGTGTAGGTTTGCAAATGATAATTATGCTTAGACTAACTCCAATCCTGCAAGTGAATAAGTGATAAATAGCTTCTGAAACTCTCAAATGTGAATTTTTAACTTCTCAAATCTCATTTTACTCCAACTCTCTAAAAAGTTAAATTTAGATTTTCACCTTCTTTTGCAACTTATTTCAATAAACCATACTTATTTTGCCTCTAATTTTTATATTTAACTTTAATTTTTTTTTTATTTTGTCATTAATTTTGAAAAGAAATTATTTATGTAATTTTTTCTAATTCAAAGACAAAAAAAAATTAAGAAAACTAGTCGTTGATTTGTTACCGTTAACTTCGGGACCACTCCAAATATAACCTTTTTGTAGCAGTTACTTTATGACATTTTTGTCATTTAGTGCATCATATGTCTTTATAAATGACAGTTCTTCATTTTTCATCAAATCATCTGAAACTTCTTCTCATTTCTAAAATAAACACATGTATCATGAATATCTCAAATAGCTTATTGTCTGGGTTTCTTCAGTGCTTGGGCTGAAATTTCTCCAGTGGACTGCTCTTGACCTTTTACCACGACTTCATGAAGGCTTCCCCTCTTTAATGTACGAATCACCTTCATCTTTCAATAATTGTCCCTCTTGACCATCCAAATTTATCCAATTGCTTATCCAAATCATCCTAGAGTATGTTTGATCTTGAAAAGCACAAAAGAACAAAAAAAAATCATAAAATAATACTAAAACACATCCTACGTCTATTATTAACACATTGATCACATAGTTATGGTTTCTATCTAAATTATAACAAAATATACTAAAGATGCATTGATAGGAGGCACAAAATGTAACAAATACAAAAGTGATAAATAATATAATTTGTGTGTTATCACCCTCACTATTTCACCGCTCGATCGTTTCGGTAACCACCTTCGCTTTGCGAGGCAAAGACAGCAACTTCAGGAGTCGGATGTCTCTTTTGAACGAGAAAACGTTGTTATTTATCGTTTGAGGCGATATTGAATACTTCAACAAGCATACGAGCTGACTTTATAGAGAGAAATTTGTTGCATATTGTCCCGAATCTCTCATCAAGTCTCATTAGGAAAATCAAAGAGCGTTGCAATTTCTTCCTTAGTTTTAATTTGTTTCTCAAACCCACACTAACACAATCCGCAGGTACAGAACAAACTACTAGATCAAAGAAATTGAAATAGGCAAAATCGACCCAGCTTACCTTTTTCTTTAACAAATGGAGGAGTGCCTATTCGTTGCCGTTTCTTTTTCCAACAGGGTATGTGATTTGTTGCTGTTTTGCTTCAACGCTACGCATCTGTATTTTTTTCCTCCTTTTGATTCTCATAAGGTCAGGGCCGGGATTCCACTTTCTTTCTTCAGGGAGAAGGATTCTAATTTCTATGTAAGAAGTTATCGTTTCCTTTTGATTCTCCAATTGTCGCACTCCTAGCATTACTGTTTCAATTCAGATTTTCAAACTCAATAATGATTTTCTTCTTACTTCTTAGTCTTAGCTAGATATATATATATACAAATAAATATCGGAAAACAGAGTTATTCAACCTGGCTGGCTGTTATTAACTACTTAATGCCAAACGTTTACTTTTTGTCTGGTTCATAACCAGATATTTACTAAAATAAATTTATGCTCCCCATAAACGTTGCCATGATCGGACCAAATCTCACCATGGGAACATTGAAATATTCAAAAGAATAATGATTCAAGTACAAAAGATCATGACCACGACTCCAGTCCTGTTGGCTGGCTGGTTCCAACTTCCAAGTGTGGGTGTTCCCCGGTTCAAGGGAAAGGAATCAAGTAAATAATCAGTAAGGTTGTCAATTCGTGGGATCTGATTGGTGAGAAAAACGAGTGTTATTATGGGTCGATCCGTATTAATGTTTCAAGTCTAGAGGTCATACAATAGTATTATTTTTCCTTTGGTTTGTGGAATATATCTTTTTCGCATTTTTCCTTATATTTCATCCTATCTTTGAATATGAATGTTATTTTCACTATATGTTGGGTTCACGTACGAACTGTTATTTTTCTGTAATGTGATATCTTATTACTCATATGTTAAATGAGATTTGATATAATTTATAAATGAATAAATAATATGATGACTTTTTCATATATCCATACTAAACCGGACTAAAAGTATAGAATCATTAACGCTCAACCCTTACTCGATCAGACCAACAGGCTAAACCGGGTTGACAACCTTGATAATCATAAGTAATGAATACATGATCTTCCATCATTAAAATCTAGCATATTTTTATAAAAAATTATATTCTCAAAATTCATTAAAAATATATCGAAAGCAAATATTATTATGTAGATCACCCTTTCTTCTGTTCAAAATTTTTCAAAGTCTAAGTTAAAATGAAGGAGGTCAAGGGTGATAGGGTTTTGACATTTTTTTCTAGAACATATAAAAAAAAACTAATATCATTTTGTAGAAATCTGTATAGATATATTTTAAATCAAGTATAAAAAAGTCGAACAATAAAAAGTATGAGATAAAGAGCTATTTAATCTCACACATGATCTCACTAAAAATTAAAACACGATATCTATCATGCATAAATGCTTAACAAATGATAATCTATTCTACCCAAATCGATCCAACACAAAATCTGTACAGAAAACCAAAAGTTAGGAGTTAATACATGTAACATTTCGAACTTTTCCCGAAGATATTTTTCGTTTTGGAATCCAAACTCACATTATTTTTCTTTTTGGGGTGCAAATTAAGGTGACTTTCCAAGAGATCACCCATCATTACATTACTCCACAATGAGTACGTTTAACTTCATAATTTTTGAAATAACTCTTCCATTTCAGCCCAAAACACGTCTTGTCAATTAAGGTCTTTTTTTTACTTATGAATAATGAATCTCTCTCTTCCTTTGTCAATGTGAGATTCACCTAATGTGTTACATACACGGTACACCCCATTGGACATCAACGTCCTAGTTGAGATTTGCCCCACCATCGTTCAAGACGACCGCGAAGAGGCTCTTATACTACTTGTAATATCTTGAACCTTTTTCCGATAAGATATTGTTCGATTTGGGCCCTAAATCTGCATGATTTCCCCCTTTGGAGTGCAAATCAAAGTGACTTCTCGAAAGATCACCCATCCTTTCATTGCTCCACAGTGAGCACATTTAACTTCAAAGTACCATTTCACCTAACAACACATCTAGTCCGTCAAAATCGATTTCTTATTTTTTTACTTATAAATCATGATGTTGAAGACTTAAATGTATTGTAAACTGACACTTTTATTAGGAAGAACGATATGAACCATAAACACACAGATTCAGCTTGCAATCTTGGCTTCCCACTGACCGTGATTGACTCCACGATCCTAAAACTAGCTAACAAACTCTACACAACTCGATGGACTCCAATGCAACTCTAAAGACATAAACATACTCTAATGGACACACTTAGATTTCAAGTGACTAGACTGTAAAATACCAAATCACAGAAACGACACCGCATTAACTCAATTTAAACCCCGCTTCCTTCGCGCCATTGGTACTCCTTCTGCTATGCAGATTCCTTCATCAGCTCGAATTCGAGGCTTCTTCCAATAGATGTATCCCGTACTTTGTCGAAATTAAGATAAAGTGTTATAATACATGCAAAACAAAAAGGGGGAAAAGGGTCCATCCTCTCTAAACTGCTGCTGCGGGTAGGGATGACAACAAAACTCGAACCCACGGCCCACGGATACCCTACCCGACCCGGTCAACGCGGGTAAAATGGCATTGACCAGTTTTGTGCTGGGTTCGGGTTTAAACCTGTTTACTATTTATTGGATTGGGTTTGGCTTTAGGTATACCCGCCCCATGGATACTTGTCCACACCCATATAATTAATTTTTACGGTATATTTAATATTCTAAGTAACTAATCTTTTTTATGTTTGCCGAGACATGTCTAATTTTTCTTCTTCTAATTGTGTAGAACGGAGTTGATATTATGGAGTGGAGAGTGAAGATACTTAATTGATAAGGAGGAGGAGGTTTTCAATTAATCATGTTGTTTATGGATAATTTGTTACTTGCTTCAATTTTCTTGAGTTTTTTAGATTGATGTTGAACAATTTGTATGGTTAATCTGTGATTTGCTTGAATTTTTTGGAATGGTGTTTTATATATGGATAATATGTATTAAGAGATTGATATTTGACCATTATTTTGATAGAAATTTGTTATTGCAAATTTTTCAAGACAAAAACTCATGGGTACCCATGAACCCGCGGATACCCAGCGGGTTGGGTTTGAGTTTTTCAAACCTAGTGGATTTTGCCCCGAATTTTTTCCACAGATAAACCCATAAATTTGAGTTTGACAAAACCCAACCCAACTCGACCCATTGCCATCCCTAGTTACGGGCACTCGATTTCAGATCTTCCTCTCCAATCCTTTGCCACTCGCCCACTCACACACGACAGTAGCAGCAGCAGGCCCTCAACCCAAAAACTGCAAATGCAATTTATTAATTATATAAAAATAGATTAAAAATTTCCCCCATCCTCTTGTTTTTTGTTCGGAGTCGGAATGGAACCATTTACCAAAACTCTCCAACCGTCCAAATTCACGATAACGCTATGAAATGAAACAACAAAAACTGCACCCCCCACCACAACCGTTAGGAATTCCGTCTCCTTCCCAGCGGGTCCCACTTCCGGAACCAATCAAATACCGACACGTTACCCGGGAGAAGGCTAGCTGGAAACCACGAGATCTGCGCTGTCGACGTTGGAGAAGAGAGGAGAGAATATACGAGGAAGGATGCCGATGAAAGTTGAAACGAGAAACGGAAGGATCCTCTCTTCTCAGCTCTCCCTTCCTTTTCCTCCCGTACCTTATTATTCTTTTTTTTAATAAATAATAATAATTAATTATCATTTTCCCAGAGCTGAACTGGCTTTAAATGGCAAAAGGAGAAACCGAGCGGGAACGCATCCATTTCTGTGTGTCTACTTTGTCTTTCTCCTCCTTCCCCTAAATCGCAGCGCTCCCAGAGAGAGAGAGAGAGAGAGAGAGAGAGAGGGAGAGCAGTATTTCTCTCTGATAGCTTTGCTCTTACTCCTCGCAAATTCTCCTTTTCTCTCTCGCTTTGCTTCCATTTGAGATCTGAGCCGTTTTCTCTTCACGCTTTGCTTGGCGCTTTGTGTGAACTGCGACCTGCTCGCTCTCCTTTCACCGGATCATACCTCTCTTCCGTGACCGTTTTACAGGTACGCAGAGCTTTTGCGAATCGAACTTCTGCTGCTGCGATCTATGTTTTCCGTGGATTCTCGCTTTGATTTGACTTGTTTGCTTACGATTTCGACGATTTCTGCTCTATTTTACCGTTTCTGTAGTTCTTATGATGCGTTTGTCGGGTATGGAGTCCAACTCTTGTCTCTTCTTCATCTTCCGTTTTCTTGAATCGCCGGCGGGCTCTATTTCCGTTTCGCCGTTGTGGAAGCTCTTCCCGACCTAGAAAAAACGTTTCCTACTGTTCATCGTTTTTACGGCTTTGATACGTTAGTCTCGTCAATCTAATTTCGCGTCATTAGTCAGTCCGTTTTTCCCGTTGAATCCCTTCATTGTGGCCAAAGGCCAGCAGACATCTGTTTGACTAGCCGATGAACGGAAGATTGGAGGTGGTGCTAGGTTGATGATCCAAGGCGGCGTTAGTGGACGACGTAGATCTATCTGTATATGAAATGTCTGCTATTAATCTTTGACTTAGTCAAATCCAATGATGATTCGTGGTAGAAACCGAATTTTGACAACCTTGGGGCTAGGTTTTTACCGTATGGTAACAGTGACTTGGCTAATTCATTCATGGGTTTTTGCATTTGGTTTTCCAGCGCTGGCTGAAATGGCTCCTCCGATCGAGACTCCAACCAAGGCTCCTGTGGCCGCCGTGCCATACTCGCACCCTCCTCTCAATGAGCGGATACTGACCTCTATGACTAGGCGGTCTGTCGCTGCTCACCCGTGGCATGATCTTGAGATAGGTATGCTTAAGATTCCGCAGGCATGCAGATCAATGTTCGATTGCTTTTGTTTCTTTTCGATGTCTGAACTTGGTCTACCTTTTCTTTGCTATGATCCCCTCCAGGACCTGGAGCTCCCAAGATATTCAACTGTGTAAGTAGATGTTCATTTTCCATTCATTCCTTGGTGTCTCAGTTTTTGTTCTCTCCTGTTGATACTGTTTCTCTGTGATTGTCTGGTATATGTGTGAAAAACTTTTCCCATACGCATGGAGTATCTGGCTTCACAGGCGACCTGATGGAGAACTCTTTGGATATCTGTGCAGGTGGTTGAGATTGGAAAAGGCAGCAAGGTGAAATATGAGCTTGACAAGAAGAGTGGGCTTATCAAGGTAATGCATTGTCTGTGCTTAAGCCTTCTTCACCTTCATGTAAGTACATTATTATGCATATCATAAGCTGAAATGTTACTTTTGGCAGGTTGATCGTGTGCTTTACTCTTCAGTTGTGTATCCCCACAACTATGGGTTTGTCCCACGTACTCTGTGTGAAGACAATGATCCCCTTGATGTGCTGGTTATTATGCAGGTATATGTCCTTGTCAATTGCTTTCTTTTATGAGTGACTTGACTTCAAACAGACGAGTGATGATCTTGGCAATACTTGTATGTATCATGTATGAATATGCAGGAACCAGTTCTTCCTGGGTGCTTTCTTCGTGCTAAGGCAATCGGGGTCATGCCTATGATTGATCAGGTACATACATTCCCTCCCTCCTTAGGACAGACGACTTGCCTTTCGTAAAGCTATCACCTCTCTTGATTTTCTACAATGCTATTATCCATTACTGAACCATGATATTTGGGCCGTCTGTTGACAAATCTTTTTAGGGTGAGAAAGATGACAAGATCATAGCTGTTTGTGCTGACGATCCTGAGTACCGTCACTACAATGATATCAAGGAGCTCCCACCCCATCGCCTTGCTGAGATTCGCCGCTTCTTCGAAGACTGTAAGTCTCACTTCCTTAGTTGTTTACCAATTACCATGTTTCTGGTTCTTAGGAGGCACTTGAACAGTTGTTTTGGACTAATACGGAAGAGAATGTGTTTTGTGTTCCTTGGCAATTTTGTGATGATAGATAAGAAGAATGAAAACAAGGAAGTTGCTGTTAACGACTTCCTCCCAGCTACTGATGCATACCAGGCTGTCCAGCATTCAATGTAAAGCCACACGACATGATTCTCCCATTGTAGTAGTCTATGTGTTTATTATGTATACTAATCTTGGACGATATTTGGTTTACTGTAGGAATCTGTATGCTGACTACATCGTTGAGAGCTTGAGGAGGTAGTCTGTATCTCCACACCATGTCTGCCTGAAGTTTCATCCTATAGCCTATGCAAAGATGCTGCTGCATATACATATAGATAATATATAATCTCCTTTTTCTTGCCAAAATTCAGACTCTGCCTGTTATGTGTTCGCTCTGAACCCGACGATATACCATCTGTTCCAAGTTAACTGACTGTTATAATTGCTTTTGATGTGCATTTGAACTTCAAGGTGAAACGACATAAGTTTTTTTCTCTTTTCATTTGTTCTGCTTCCTGTATTGCTGAATGCTGATTGTAGTAACGAAAAGTGGGAAAGTTGAAAGATTTTTGCTGCCTATTCCCGACTTGTGCTCCTGGACTGGTTTCCTCCATCAAGCCTTTAGATTTCTGTGTTGTTTCTCATTGTGGGAAGGAATACATCACTAAGCTCATAATTACCTTGATTTATATTTATGAAAACTAGTCGATTCATCGATGTCCACTTAGTGTCATATATGATGATATATTAGTCAAATACTTGCATTCTTTTGCATGCATTGTAAGTGTCATATATTCCTTATGTCCTCTTCCTTACTAGCCTCCATTTCATTGAGTTGACAATAAATATGATAAAGCCCTCTAAAAATTAAACGAGATGTCCCATACTTTGTACTACAAACAAGCAAGGTAAGTTCATGAAAATAACTCAAGTGTTTGCACAAGTTTCTAGCACTCTCTCAATGTATTGCAGCTGGAGGATCAATGAAATAACCATTTTACTTCTTTACCCTGAGGAGATCAACCCAAAATTCTATATCCTTTGTCTCTAGAACTTAAACTTTCTTCTCACACACCTCAGTTGCCTGCAATATCAAATATTTGGAATTCACCTAGTGGGAACATCCAAACACGCATTTTCTTGCCATGAATGTGATGAAATTTAACACACTTCTTGAACTTATCCAACCTTGAAGATAAAGCACATACCCGTATCATAACCTCCCTAATTCGTACCACAATCGCCCAAATTTCCTCTGATCCGTAAGTGACAATGAGATTAATGATATGAGCCACACAATGCATAAGCAAATAAATCACACCCTTAATACTCCTACCCCAAGCCATTAATTTTTCATTCAAGTAGCCAATTGTTATATAATTTGCACTTGCATTATCAACTGTGAATGTAAAGACATCCTTCAAACCCTAATCTTCCAAAATACATGCAATTGCCTCCGGAATATCAAATCCTTTATGACTAGTAATGCGGCAAAACCCAATGATCGTCTTATGTGACTTCCAATCATTCTCAACATAGTGAGCAATCAAACACAAATAAATAAAGTTTTGAATAGAAGTGCAACAATCTGTTGTAAGATATACCCTACAATCACACTTGTCTTTAGAATAATCCTTCAGTTGGTTCCTCCCTTAAACAAGCAATCTAAATCAATCTTTTCTAATACTCTTTGTACATGAACATAGGACATGCAACATGACATAACTACTTATACTTTCCCATTTTCAACAAATCTAAAGGGCAACTCATCCATGATAATTGCTTAAACTTTTCATCCTCTCATCAACCGATGGTAGGCTTAATTGCATTTGACCACCTTATTCTACACTTTTTCTCCTACAAACTATAATTTGTGTACGATGAGTAGAAATACAATTTTGGCGTGAATCGACATCAAGATCAGTTTTGAAAAACAAACACCCGACCTTCCTCAATCCATTCTTCATTTTTCCCCATCCTTCTCCTCTTGGCTAGCTTTGGGATTGGGTACTGAAAACAATTTGTACTCTTCATATGCATTCGACCTTGTCTTGCATTCCCTCTTATTACTCATTTTATTAGGTTTTTGACTCAGTTCTAACTACACTCTCAATCCAAAGTCAAGTGGAACTTTCAACCATGGTAGTATAGAGCAAGTATTTTTGGATTATCCAACTTGGGCGGTCTATATATACTTACTTCAACCAACTATAAATTATCGAGCAGTATAAATGTTGTTTTAAGCTAATGAACTAACAAACATGCGAGTAAAACAAGGTTGAATTCAGTGGAGAAATTTTTACTCGGATGATTATCCCCCTATTCCCATGTTAAGTTAATGACGTGATACTCAAATGTGATTCTAATCTAGTATATACTGCTAGGAGATCAAAACTAGTTAAGAGTCCCTATTTGAGTTGTCCTAACCCACCTAATTTCTCTAATCGAAGAGACGTACCAAACTACCAGATTAAGCAATTAGGGAACCGAATCCACTTCCTCTGGAGATGACACGGAACGGTGTAGAGAAACCAATCACCCTCATTCATTGCCCCCTTATGATACTTGAATAATTGTCCTAAAATACCCTTAGAAGATCTTCTCTCACCTAGGTTAATTGGCCCCAAATTGAGAAAACTGATCAAGGACCTTCGATTATCTTGATAAATACTCAATCAATATATAAACAATCATGATAATAACAACGTAGAGTTCACAATCACAAAACTACAACTTTCTAGACTAGGGTTCGCATAATCCAAGTGAATATATAGTCTACTCCATGCACAGAGAAAGAATATACAACTATTTTTTAGAGAAAAGAACTACAACTATATAAAAGGAAAAACCCATGAAAAGATGAAGCCCCCTTCTCTCTAGTTGTTTGGGATGGTGTTGAAGATGGAATCAAGCCTCCTTTGACATTGGGTAGCTCAAATTCCCCTTCAATTCTCCTTGGTTCATCATTTTGTCTCTCTATAATGAAGAAGAAGATCAAACTCTCTCTAAACTTTTCTGCTTTTGAAATATGCTCGACAGTGCTGTCTTCGATGCTCCCATCATGCCTGTGATGTGTGCAGTGAAATCGTGATGTCGACACAAAACTCACGGTTTCCTTCCACTTTTCACGCCCTGCGCCCGTGATGTGTGCACTACGAGCGAGATTTTCAAATGCTCTCGGGAACTTGAAATCTTCGCGATTTTGTGGTAATCTTCACAGTCTGTGTCCGTGATAATCTGCCTTGAACCATGATCCTTCACATTTCCAGTACTTGGTCCCGTTTTCGCTCCATGTTGTCTGACTTTCGATCCTTTCGCCCATTTCACCTGCTAGAGACTAAAAACATACTAAAACATAACATAACCTAGTGTAAAATGGTTCCAAGGATGATGCTACCCAAGTCAAACGACAAGAAGAATGGTATAAAAATGTATAAAATTACTCGAATCATTTTTTCAGTTGATGGAGGTGTTGCCACACCTTGGTTAGTATAAGTGGGAGGAGGCTCAATTTCAACAACATCGGGAGGAGGATACGAAAGAGGCAACATCTGGGACATCAATAACGTGTCGAGATGGTGAAGCTACACTTCCACTAGATTCCTCATTTTGTCGTCTCTTCCTACTCTTGGCATTGTTGGCAGGATTAAGAGCTAAATGTACATTTCCTTACATATAGTTGCTCACTCCTTCTCCTGGTGACAATAGAAATTTAGAAAGCCATTTTAGGGACAACAAAATCGCAAAAGCTATTACAAACCGTCAAGCACTTTCAATAATTTACGAGAATGAAGATCGAGAAATAAGGACTCAGCACAATCCCACAAGACTCATTTACTCGAATTGGGGAACTTACATATCTTTTGTTGGCTCCTTGAACACTCAGACTGTTGAATGAAGGTGTTGGCCTGCTAGCACCTTGCGTTTTGCTGTCGTAGTGGTTGTTTGGTTGAAGCCTAGCAGAAGAATTGAAGAATGGAAGATGGGAAAGGAGGACCGAGAACGATAGCAAACATGGAAGACATGTTAGAAGAGGAGGACAACATGTAAGGCGGGGAAGCTCAGGGACTCACCGAATCGGAGGATCCCCGACAACAATGAACGACCTACGAGGAAGACACAAGACCTTTCTTGTCCAGTGTACGACAACAGATGGATTCTTCTTTAGTTCTTTTAGAATTCATGAATCGGTGAATGGGTGGTTGAATGGTTGGAGAACGGAGATGTGACTCCTCACCCCGAGATGAAGGAGACGACGTTGAGGATATAGTTTTTCGTTTTGTTTCCATATCTTTTCAGCCGTTGGCAAACCAATAAATTGGGCTGGGAAGACCGATGGCCCTCAATTGAGTGGGTTTCTTAATTCAGTTGGCTGGAGCTCTATGCCACCCGACCTACCTATCTCACTCTTTACATTCGGTTATGACTGTGGTTAAACCACTAGTCGCAAAACAAAATGATTTCGTTAACCCCAATCACATAAGCACCTATTTATTCAATTCATGGTTAATTAAAAAAACCGCACCATTTCAATTCGATTAGCGGTTTAACCGCAAAAACGCAACCGCTTTCCAATCCTATCAATAACCATAGTCTCATATATATCCGTCCGCCCCCATCGAGGGATCCACTACGTTTCCCTAACAAAATATCTCGCGGAGTCCCATCCAATATCCTCCAAACCCCGAACCTTCTCATAAACCCTTCCCCCACCGATTACCTCGATTCCTCCATCCCATCAAAACCCTCCCACCTTCCTATACTTCTACCTCTCGCTGAAGCAAAAACCCCAGTCCACACAGTTGCGCCTTTTCTTTTCGACATTAACGCAAACACCATGAGCTCATTCAACAACACCCCTAACTTCGACAATCCGCTCCTCCAAACCCTAATGGGCCGTCTCCAAATCCGCCCACCCAACTCCTCCCAGCGCCCTTTCGTCGCCAAATCCCTCGAGGACCTCCTTTTCGACGCTGTCAACAATCTCTCCGATGACTCCGATGACGACGACAACGCCATGGATCCCAGCGGCGGCATCGACTCTTCTGCCAAGACCCAGCTTCGCAAGGAGGAGGCCAAGCTCGAGAAGGACATCATCCGGGTGATTCTATCGGGCAAGACCGATTCTTTGAAGCCCAACTCCGGTCAGGCGGTTACCATCGGCGAGCACCATATCTGTGTCGGGTTCCACGAGGAGAAGGGGTCGGATTACAGAGTGTGGGAGTGGCATGGCCACATCATGCTGTTTGACGAAGAGAATGGGTACACCCCCGAGTATATCTATGGGAATCACTTCGAGAGGTTGCTTGGTGGTGGTGTCTCGCGTGGAGGTGGTGCGGTTAGTCGGTCGCATAAGGAAGAGGAGGAAGATGATGAGGAGGAGGAAGGAGGAGAGAAAGAAGAGGAGAGAACGGCGAATTTGGGGTTGAGGGAGTTGATTGACGGTGGTGATTCCAGTGGTGCTCGGATACTGCATAGGAATGTCGTCACTGGCGCAAAGGTATGCGGTTTGAACACTGGAACTACGCACTTACTCTTATCATACTGTTTTTGCAATTCTTGGTTATGAAACTTGCTCTGCGGGATCAGCTATTCTGACACTAGTAAGGGAACGCAAATTCGGCTCCTAAACTTGAAGAACGGACGAGGAAGAATTAGATGATTAATTGATCTGACTGGCTTGCTTGGGAAATGGTTTAAAGGGTTGTATTAATAATTTATTCGAGCTAGTCATGTTTGGTAGCTTGCAGATGTAGTATTAGCTCAATATGTGGTTCAGGAATGATCTGTGTGGCGTGACATTAGGGTAATGCAATATCAGCTTACCTTTTTAGTATTGATTATATGTTCCCTTCGCTTGATCCATCGATTGTTTGAATCCATGGTGGTCGTGTATAAGTTAATTACCTTTGCATCAGTCTCCATGTCGAGATGTATGGGTTGCTCATTTATGTGTGTGATGTGTACCATGAGCACAAACTCTTAATTAAGTTAACATGATTGGGATATCATGTATCAAGGTCTGGTTTGAACTGTAATCTCCCAAGTCTTTCCTAACACGTCATCTTTTCTTGGCGCTGAACATAGCATAATAATGGTGTTATCAGCTAAACAACCGAGGCTATATGGGTTTTGTATCTGGGAAACTGTCGAAAATTTATCATAAGTCATGTGTCTGAAATTTGCTGTTTCTAGGATAGCATTCTTAGGCCAGTTTCAAGCATACTTCCTTGCATTCCTTCTTTTTAAAAGTTTCCTTATATTTCTGGCGTAACCTTTTTATAAAAACGGCTACTCATAGTTGTGGCTGGTGCACCTTGCCAGAGGTTTATACTTTATATGGATCTTGGAGACCTGAACTGTGAATATTGAATGTTCTGAACCATAACCTCTAGTTGATTTTTCTATCTACAACAATGATTCAGTCTGCTCTTGAGATTTAATACTCTCAAATGCTGATGTTATGTTGCTGGTTACTCCGGTGCCTGCAGTGAAGTCTAGTTCCCTTGTTATCTTGCCTTTTTTCTGGAACATAATTGCTAACGCTGTGCTGCTGTGCCTGCCTCCGGCAACTAACAGGTTTAAATGGCTTGCTCTGTCGCTCTCCTTGTTCCATGGCGACTTGAGGAGCTGGGAGACCAATGCATTGGGTGAAGCATCTGCGGACATAATTCCCAATCCTCGGGAAGTGGGGAGTGTTTTGAGAATACATACTCTGTCGACCTCAAATACATGTTGCACTTTTTACACAAGTTGGGGTTTCAAATTTGTTGTGGTTTTTTTCCCCGATGGCCTTCGACCCTGTTTATCAGAACAAATGTTTCTGCCGATCTGATATTTTGGTTGAACAAGTTTCAGCTTCTCCAAAGTTTGTCCATGTATATTTCAGCTTTGGCCTTGTTTATCTTGCTACTTCAGTTCATTCCGCATCGAATAAGGAATATATGAGTATTCATATTTCGATGCTACAGGTTTGCCTCCTTGCAGAGATTTGGGAGGTGCTGGAGTCATCCCCTACTTACAGCTCAGTTTCGTATCGTAACAAGGCGATTCATATGATGGTTTATTATGCCCTATTTTTGCAATCCAAATGCTGGTTTATCTGGGTCGACTTGGTTTAATGACCTCGTAGTTCTTTGAATTCATAGTCATTTGATGGATCTGGAATTCTGGATGCAAGTAATTAAATGGTGAATGTAGCAAACAGAAGTGTTCAGTGCTACTATCTGTTGTTTTAGAAATTCATAACCCCAATCCCATAAGCTTTCTTCCTGATTCGCGGACCCTAATCGGCCGATTAATCTTTCACTAAATTCCTGACGAAACCCAAACGGAAGTGTTCACCACGTGTCCCAATCCTGACGACTATCATTCAACTTCACTAAATTCTAAAGAGATCGCATCAGAATTTTGATAGATCCAAGACAGAGAACGCGATCTCAGCCGTCCAGATCATCTCTCGCTTTAAATTAACCTGAGATCCAACGATTTTAAATCGTTCGCCATGTCAGCGATCCGCGCCTGTTCTTTCCAGCCAATCCGAGGGAACCTCATACCTCTATATAAACTGCATCCGAACTCCTTTCAATTCCCCGTTCCGAAAAAAACGATAGCCAAGCGTGGAGAAAGGAAGAGTCAAATAAATCGCGTCCGTGCCCGTTCCGTTTCGACGATCAAAATGGCGCCGAAGCCGGCAGAGAAGAAGCCAGCGGAGAAGAAGCCCGCGGAGGACAAATCGCCGACGGCGTCGGCGGAGAAGAGACCGAAGGCGGAGAAGAGAGTGGCGGAGAAAGGCGGGGACAGCAGCAAGAAGAAGAAGAAGGTGAAGAAGAGCAGCGAGACGTACAAGATCTACATCTTCAAGGTCCTGAAGCAGGTGCACCCTGACATCGGGATCTCCAGCAAGGCGATGGGGATCATGAACAGCTTCATCAACGACATCTTCGAGAAGCTGGCGCAGGAAGCCTCCCGCCTCGCCCGGTACAACAAGAAGCCCACCATCACGTCGAGGGAGATCCAGACCGCCGTCCGATTGGTCCTCCCCGGCGAGCTCGCCAAGCACGCCGTTTCCGAGGGCACCAAGGCCGTCACCAAATTCACCAGCTCTTAAAAACAAATTACAGAGGAATTGTTACGCGATGATCATCCGTTTCCCCGAATTGGGGGTTTTCTTTCTTTTTGTTTTTTCCCATCTTTATTTTGGCTCATGTTTCTGTTACGGTAGATTACACATTCTGTTGCATCTGGCAGCGGATTTTTGACGAACAATCCAATTCTTTTTTTTCCGGTAATTAATCCAATTCTGTCTCGATTACATTTTGTTGCTCATTTTATAACCAGGCAAATACATTGAATCACAGGTTCGTGGTTGGTAAAGCCTTCATTAGTCTTTGTTACCATTTTCATGCATTTCCCCCTCTGGTAATTAGCATTATCATTGAAGCTCTCTTCCTGGACAAAATAGACCCGAAATACAAAGCCGATAACACCACCAATTCTGTACAAGAGAAACTTAAATCATAAGTTTAACGCTGTACTGAAACAACACATAAGCCGGGATGCTATTGCAGTTCGGCTTTAAAAGTTCTCTTTATGATCCAATGTCGCGCAACTCTTAATATAGATGTTTGTTTGCCCAAACAATATCTCCAAAAAACTGCCCCCTTGCATTAACAACCATAGTGGCCCTGCCACACTATAGCCACATTTCAGATAGCTAAATGGTTGGTCTTTATGTATGTTCGTTTTTAGATTGTGTTGAATTTGTATATATTGATCGGTGACAGAATTCTGGTGAAGTGACAAAATGCAGACATGCGGAGAGGCGAACACCTAATAGAAGGTCAAATCGAGAAAGACACAAACATAAATGGTCTGGGTAGGAATCTTCACTCAACTAACAGCAACCCTTGCAAAGTAATGAGATTTTGGACCAGTTTTCTTCAAGTACTTGGATTTGATGGCTCACCCTAAGATAAAAATATGCAACCAGGATCTAATATTGTTATACAATACCTTATCATTGCAAGAATAGTCTCATGAAATAGTTTAATGAAATGAGAGCGAACAAACAACAAGTAGGGGAGGGCCACTTAGACACTTTTGGAGACTAGTTTTAGAGGGGAAATAATCAAAGGAGAGAGCTCACTTTTAGGAAGAGAAACCTTCTGCAGAAAGATAACAAAGCAAAGTGAACACCAATTTCGGAAGAAGATTAGAGAAAGAAGACACTTTGGAATTGAACATTTTGAAAAAAGGAAAACTTTTGTAAGTTGGAAATTAACTTCAAAACTTAAGTACTTTCTCTACCAACACCTTTGTTTAGTGAATTAATTATCATGTCGAACATTAACATGCTTATGATCGTTCATTTCATCATGAATTAAATCCCCAATGTATTGGGGTAACTTTGATATTTCAGTATCTAGTCTTGACGTTTTAATCACCATTTCCCTCTATTTTGTATTGTATGAAATAGTTCAACGCTTTGTGTTGATTCGCCACCTTCACAATGATTTATAACTTTATAAGTTAATAACGATCAAATATCAAGGGCTCAAATATGTATAAATTAGCATGCATCACATATTTAGTAAAATGATCAACAAAAATAACATAGTATAGAAAATCATAATAGCAGAAACAAAAACAGGTTCCCAAAACATGAGTAAAGTAACTCAAGAGGACAAGAGGTAGTGAGAGATGACACATATTACGGAAGCTGATGGATTTTGCAACATTGGCAAGAGGAACAAGTGATAGAAAAAGAGGAGGCCGTCGTGAGAGAAGTAGAACAACCACCGGAGAAACTACTTCAGCAGAGGGATGCCCCTATTGTCAATGTCAATAGTCAGTGAAAGATTTGACACGAGCAAGAGCGTGTGGAGAAGCATTGAAGAATGTCGTTGGCGGTGACACACAGACGTCGTTCTTAGCGCACACCTGGAGCATAACTTCCACTGTAGATAAATCTTTCACCAAAATAGATGAAGGAAAGAATTCGATAGAGGTATTATAAGTGAGACGAAGAGGATACATAAATAAGATCGGTGGTTTCAGTGGGAGAGTGAAGAATGGGCGACATAGTGAGAGTGCGAGAAGAAAGAGAGATAGTGGTGTCAGTGTGAGAAGTCGCCAAACTTGTGCCATCACCAATTGTGATGGTGTCGTGACCAACGTACGGTTCAACCATATGTAGATACTCGAGAGACTCAATCACGCGATGACCTGCCACAGAGTTAGATAGCCACTCAAATGGTCTGCTCAGCGAAGTAATGGTGAGGTGAGCATGAAGCGCGCCGAAGGTGGGACAAGGATGAAGCAGTAGAAATGAATTTGTGCAAGAGAAATGAATTTCAGAGAGAAATGAGAGCAACAGCTTCCTAGAGAGAGAAAGGGATGAAGAAGAATCCCTAGGAGGTAACTGGAGCCAAGATTCATCACCAAGGAGTGAAGATTGGAGCTCAAGATAAAAAAACCCACTTTCATGAGATGATTTCTCTTCTCGAGCTTGTATTTCCCTCTCTTTCTCTCGCTATGGAGTAGACTCCATTTTCACTTGGGCTGTCAAATTTCTAGCCATGTATGTTAGGATTTGATGAATCCTAGCTTGTTACACTCTCTATTATATATTGATTTGAAGAATTTATCATGATATTGATTAAGTATTGATCACACTCTCCAATTCGAGACATTGACTGAAGAAAGAGAATAACTAATTAGGTTGATTAGAACATCTTTAATTCTTCATTGTGGGCCATTTGAATGAGTGTGATTTGGCCCAAAACATCGTATTGGATCGATATCCTTTAGAGAGGTGTTGGGGGATTGTGAATGGCTGGATCGGGATGAGATCATGAGAATTGGGATGAAGCCATTTTTATTGGTAAAGATGTTATTTAGTTTGGGGAGGAAGGGTTGTAGAGAAGAGAAAAGAAACAGAGGATTCAGTCGGGAAGGTAGAAGAAGAAAGAGGAGGAAGGAAGGTTTTTTTTTTATTTACAAAAGATAATCTTGTATTAGATAAAAAAAGATAGACAGTTACAACATGGAGATCAGTCAGGCTTGAAAATCAAAGAATCGACTCATAGTCGGGTACAGAGAGAGGGCCTTTCTAGCCACCATGTGGGCTATCCTATTGCTACTCCGACCTATAAATCGAACACTAAACCCAGGATTGCTGACAAAATAATGTGTCACTTCTTCTAGCACAGCTCCCACCCTGTTGTCCCTTGTATCAGCCCGCCTGATATTATCGATAACCACCTTGGCATCCCCTTCAAACCTCACGCTAGTTAAGCCTTGGCCCAGACACCAAAGGATCGCCTCTCGGAGGACAAGTAATTCCACCACGAGAGGATCATCAATGACTGGAAATTGAACCCCTGTAGCCCAAAGGACGTCCCGATTCGGGGACATAAGCACCACTCCTCCCGTCGAATGAGATCCCCTCCGAGTAGCCCCATCCCACCCACAAATGACCACAGACAAATCCACCTGGACAGGCTGGTGATCAGCGGGGGCAGGGTTCTGGAGAGGCTTATCAACCAGGCGCCTCACCCATTCCTCATACTGCTGCATAAACTGGCGCATCAAAGCAGTGATCTCATACTGTTTGCCTTCAAAAACCACCCAATTACGAGATCAGATTCGCCAGAGGATGGCCACTATTGCCAGAAACAGCATAGGCTGATCGATTAAAGCCATCAATTTTTTGAGAAAAAGAGGAAATGTGTGACGCGATAATCCCTCCCCTACATGTTCCAGCCCTGCCGCCCCCCAAAGGGCTCGGGCCACCGGGCAATCAAGGAACAAATGTTCCATAGTTTCAGAACTATCCCAGCAGACCGGACATCGGGGATGAACCATGATCTTTCTATTGATTAGGGCTTCCGTCGTAGGTAGGATCCGGTTGAAAACCTGCCAAACAAACACCTTTAATTTTGGCGGTATATTTGCATTCAACAGGCGAATCCAACTGGTCCGATCCATCCATCCTACCGTAGCTTTCCATCGACCCTTTCTCCTATCAAGAGAGACAGCCAAATGGTAAGCCGATTTAACCGAGAAATTCTCATCAGCCGTATCATGCCAAATGAGCCTGTCCTCCACATTCTCGGGCGGGAGTGGAATGACTTTTATAATGCGGCAAGTAGCTGGGTCAAACCATTGCGAAGCTTCATGTCACACCAGCGTCCCTCCCCCGGACAAATCAACTCAGAACCGGAGGGTCACCCCCAGCCGGTAGAACCCTCGGATTATATCGAAGGGGTTCAAACTGGTGTTGAGGAACCCAAATAGAGTGAAGGAGGGAGGAAGGTAGAAGAAAGGGAAAATGTGCTTTAATTTTTTATTGACAAATCTAAACGTTTTTCACAATGAGGAAGATGTTAGCTGTTTCAAAGGGTTGATTGATTGTTGTAAAAGACTAAATTGAGAAAAGAAGGCATAATTAGTTTATTATAAATGAGAGAAGTAAATCTCTATCCTCTTATAATTTTCTCTTTGTATTTTTTTTATATTTATTTTAAATAAAAGTTTTTATTCAAATAATTTATATGAATGCATCTAATTAATGGTATTTTTGTTATAAATTTTATAAATAATAATATAATATTAACGCTCTTTGCACGCTCTCAATATTGAGTTCTTTGAAAATACAAGCTCTCGCATTCTCGCTGTTGCTCTTTTTTTTTTTTTTTTGCCATTCAAATCATCTCCGGGGAGAGGAAGATAAGATCCACACAACGTCAATTACAAACTTCGTAACCAAGACACATATTCGAACCTCGACAGGACCCGAGGCGACAAACTTAGGAATTCTTTGGCCACTAAATGAGCCACCCTGTTTCTCTGACGACCTACAAATCGCAGTTCACAATTTCCACCGAAACCAGCCAGCAAGGATCCAATCTCTCGCAAAATAGAACCCACCTTTGAATCCTTGTCATCCCCAGCCAAGCACTTGTCCAAGATCACTTTAGCATCACCTGTAATTAGCAGAGGAGTCGAATGCCTACGAGCACACTCCCGTAAGCAATCTCTTAGTGCCAAAGTTTCCAAGACATGAGCATCCTCAATCCCTGGATAAATTGTACTCATCGCGGCTAACAGAGCTGCATTCACATCATCAAAAGAACCTTCACAAATTGCAAAAGAAGCAGCCCCAGAATCACCACGCCCAGTTGCACCATCAAAGCAAGCATGAAAACGAGGCGATAAAAACTGCCGAGGAGCTGGCGCTGAAGCACAAACGTGCTGCTGGGTTGGAGTAAAGGAGAATGCCATCTCAATTTCATTCACTTGATTGATGGCGCCACTCCGCAGCCCTCGTCACCAAAGGAGCCTGCTGGTGCTCAAAGAGAACACAACACCGGCTTTTCCAAATTCTCCATAACATAGCAAATTAGCAATCACCTGCAAAATAAAGTAAGAATTGTGTTCTGCATTGCGCCGATCAAAAAGAACCGCTTGAAAGAACCCTGCGAACGACCGCTTATCCCATGATTGATACTCTGACCGTAAATCCACCAAGTTCTCGCTGTTGCTCTCACTCATGGTTGTCACGCCGGCCGGCGTGCCACCGGTTATACCGGGTTCAACCGGTACCGGTCATAAAACCGGCGTGACACCACCGGTATGACCGGCATGATCGATATACGAATCTCTAAGTAAAATGACCTTATTTTAGAGAATTTAATTGATAAAAATTATTTTATTATTTATTTTATGAGTATAAAAGTTAAATATTGATGTTATTTGTTGGATTCAAATATAAATGTTTAGGTATTGACGTTAAATGTCATGTTTCAATATGAGTATTTATAATTTTATTTATAATATTGACCGGCATGAACCGGCACAAACCGATATGTGCCACCGGTTGAACCATTCCACTTGCTAAACCGGCACACTGGCATAAACCGGTTTGACAACCTTGCTCTCACTCAACTGGTTACCTAAGGCCCAACCTGACTAACTTGGGCCTTTAGTTTTGATCCACTTAAGCCCAATCAGAACGAAAAACATCTTTAACAGGCCAGCGGACTGGAAAAGGAAAAAAATGGAGAATGGGAAGAAAAAGAAAAGACAAAAAAGGAGACGTGTTAGTCGGCGGATCGGGTCGGGAAAACCGCCATGTAGCTCGCCCATTGACTCGCCCTCGAGATCGTAGATCGATTTTTTCCTATAAATATGAAAAAAAAGCAAAACCAGTTTTGATATTTCTATCACATTTATTAAAAAAAAAATATATATATCTCCCCAATTCCAAGTTGACAGACTGATCCAAAACCTCCCGTCTCCTTGTGTCCTTTCTTCTTCTAAATAGTTAATACTTTTATACTCCGCCTGCAAAATTTTCTCCGTCTACGAAGCTGAGGCTCACGTGGTGGTGATGGGATCAATCTCCGCCTTATCCAGATCTCCTTAATTGAAAACCTAGGGTTTTGATCCTTCATCGCATCCTCCATCTCTGCTACAGAGTGAAGCGTTCAATCGGAGAAGAATTAAGAATCAGAAAGGGGGGATTTGATTTTTCCTTCTTTCTTAGGGTTTGGGGAGGGAGCGGGTAGCTGAGAAATCGTCATCGGAAAAGTCGCAGGAGGTGTCGGGAAGAGATTGCAGCGGTGGCGGGGCGACGGGTTGGTGGGGGGTTTCGGAGAGCATAGGATATAAAATGCCTTCGGTGCCCATTCTGCGTTCTCCGGTTCTTCCTTCTCTAACACCCTACCATGGAGGGATGTGCTCGCATCGTTTGAAACGGCTCGAAAAGAGTAATCGGCGTGGTAATCTTAGTTAACATTAGGTTCCTTCTTCTTCTTCTTCTCCCCCCTCTTTTTACCTCCAGTTTGCTCCTCCCCTTTTATTGCCGCTTACCTGTACTTGAGATCTCTTCCGGGAGCTCTATTGTTGTACTTGTTCCTCTCCATCCCTGGTGTGCGTGTGCGTGTGCTCGCTGAAAGTCTGGAAAGTTCGTCGATCTGGTCGTGTTTGGAGAGATCGGTCATTGGATTTGCTTCAACCTTCGTGATTAGGTAATTTTCTGTTTTGCGTTGAATTTGATTGTCGAATCTGCGTTTGTTTTGATGATCTGCGTTATTCATTCTAGCTGATGATTGGTTCAGGCGAGTTGAAATTTTGCTTGGGTTTTGTTTTGTGCAGTTGGATTATCAGATTGATTTCATTTCCACTAGCAAATGTTTGCTTAATGTGGACCAAAATTTTTGCTAATCTGCTATTACCACTTGTTGCCTGCAGTTTTCTGTTCATTGTCTTTGTAACTGTCGATGGACGTTGGCCACCGTGGTGCTGGTTCTGTTGAGGATCTTCTGGTGGATGAAGAGGAAGTCGATCTTGGAAAATTGAGGTCCGAAAGTACTCAAGAAACAGATGCATTTGATAGAGATCACCTCGATGATGGAGGTGGAGGTTGTGAATCAATCGGCTCATCTGGGCCTCAACCTGTCTCCAGTAATTGCTTGGACAAAGCAGCAAAATTCCCCTGTCCTAGCGACAAGGCATCCAGTCTAGATTCATCAAATGATGATGCTCCAGAGGAAGCATTGCACTTGCTGTTCTCCGAAGAGCCCCTGCAGGCCGCCGAGTCTATAAAAGTAAGCCCTCCTTATCAAAGAAGTTGCTGCTTGTTTAGTTGTTTATCTGAACCATGTGCATTATATGGTAGTGTGTAACCCTTTGGTTAAGGGCGAAGCTTTTTGTCATTCCTTACCTGTGTTGTATTCATGTTGACATGCTGTTTCATTTTGTCTGGCCTTTGAAGCTCATACCTGCCCTGAAAGGTAGCCGAGAGAAAATGGGTAAGGCGGCACCAAGGCAGCAGCTGAGTGTGACTTGGGCTCCTGATGTGTATGACCCTGTTCCCAATTCTCTCTGCCACACGGTGAAGAGCAGTAAGAAGAAATCTAGAAGAGAGAAAGATAGAGATAACAACCACCACCACAACAAGAAGAATGGAAAGAAGGGACAGAAGGGTAGTGGTAGTACTTCATCCTCGCGAGGAGGCAGCAGCAGCAGTAGTAGTAGCAAGGACAAGAAGCAAATCCGGAGAAAGCCCGACAACAAGTCTTCTTATAAAACATTGGATATCTGTGATGACAGATTTGGCGATTCTTCAAGTGGGCTTAGCTTTGACGTGGCTAGTGCAGACTACTGCGGCAGCAGCTTCCTTAAGAAATCTGTAACAGAGTTCCATTACTCTGTTGCTGAGGCGTTGTGATCTTAGACCTTGGCTTGGTTTCATGCGATAACTAAGCCCGGCCTCCAGCTTGTGTCTTTCCTTTTTCTTCTGTGAATAAATAAGTGCTCTTATGGGAGTGTAGAAGTTTTTAGAACGTCTAAATCTGTGCTGTGTACTGTACGATTGTTGTTTGGTAGTTAATTTGACAAGGAGACCAGCCTGGTTCTGTGTGATGTGTCTTTGTTCTAATATCATGTACTTCTGACTTATTATTTCCAAGGTTTAGTTGCTTCTTGACTTGTGACTTATGAGGTTGTTCTTCAGTCTATGGGATTAGTTGCTATAAACTTGAAAGCATGCCAACCACGCAGGGAGATCTTCAATTCACTTGCTTAAACCTTTCAGGGCAACAATGATAACGATGCCAAAAACTGCTTATTGCTTCCTGAGCTTACAATGCCATTCTGTCTGCTTGTAGTTAACCCCTTATCAGAATGATTACTACATAGCAACCACTCCAACCATCTACAATGATTAAATAACGAAAGTGACCTTGTTTTAGTTTTATATCTTACCAGTTATCACTAGAGTTAAAATAGAGGTTACCCATTGGAAAGAAATGATTCCAAGTATCGGTCAATAGAGTTGAGAAGATGGCAAGCCTTCAAACTAAAATAGTAATCTAACAACAACTTTTGGTAAGATAAGCTACAATTCTTTTAATCCTTGGTGTACTTGCAATTAAGAGCGACGTACTTCAATTAATCATGCCTCTCACCAATTAATCATTGCCTATTTTTTTCTAATAATCATCACTTAGGCCTTATAAAGGCGTAATTGTATGCCTAGCACCTAGACGGGACATTTTATCACTACCCAGTGTCTAGGCACGCCTAGGCATAAAGCTATCCTTTAAATAGCCCTACTCAATATGAGGGGTCGTTTGGATGAATTAATTGTCAATGTGGTATTTGTAGAGTCAAATAACTCATTAATTATTTATATGGTACTATAGTGTTATTTCAGCGATAATTGGACTGAAGTATCTCGTTTATTAGAACTATGCAAATGAGCTATTTCGAAAAAACAGAGTAGTAAAACCAGTTATTTTGAAAATAACACAGGGGTTAGAGTTATTTCCGATAACTCATTTTGAATTATTTGTAAATAACTCACAGCCTAACAACTCATTTAAGTAAAATGCTGCCAAACTATTATGAGTTATTTAAACCCAAATAACTCAATCAAATGTCTCATCCAAGATCGCTAACATTTGGTTTCCTTTGATACTACTGATGGGACTATCGTGAGAAGAACGACTAACAATGGGTTGCTGCAACAGAATTGTCCATTTCTCTAACAATCAGTGTTGATCATTTCCCATAGTAGCATCTGTGACGGGATTACATATCTACTCAGAAGGAAACACAGATTGTACTACCACTTAGAGCAGAGGTGCTATTATCACTCAGTCACTCGTACTTTTCTATGATGTAAATTCACTTCTCTGCAACACTGTCACTTGTGCTATAATGTTTCTGACTTAACGCAGGATGACCAGCTGAGCTGACGACATGCGCCCAAAGGTAAGAGGGTGCAGCCAATCATTTTTACCGGGCAACAACTGGTTTAATGCCGGGGAGACATCTTCGGTTCTATGCTCCCAAATACTAGTTCATTTCGAAATCACTCCATTCTCACAATCTCATCTCTTTCCTTCATCCAAAGAACCTCATTCCCTGAAGCAAGTAGAATAAAGACCCAAGCAACTCCTAAACAGCATCTCCATATCCAACTATCAACTACGCGACAAACTCTTCGATGTCTGGCAATGGCATTTTCCAGAAATTCCATGCGTTGTAATCTTCCTGCAAAACCCGAGCAGCTCAGCAGCGGTGAAAAACAAAGCCAGAACATCCTTGAGCTTAAGCAGGGTACTGTACCTCTACCTGCTCGACCAGTGATGTTGGAGGGAACATGTCATTGACAAGAGTGTGTAATGATGTATACGACCTCACATCGATCCGATGACTAATAGCCACCTCTCCCTGACATTTCAAAACAGCAGTACACTTGAGATATCCAGCTCGCTAGAAAAATGGGGATTAGTAGGTTGAAGTCTAATGGAGATAGAAACCTTCGGGTTTATGATAAAAATCTTCCCCTTTGGAATACCAATTTTGCGGTAACTAAGTTCATCGGTGTCTCTATTCCCAAAGCCCGCATAGAATGGGTTGTAATCAGTTGGAAACAGTTTCCTGATGTCCTGCAAGTGCAAGGGGTATCAAAGTTGGGCCCAGAATCAAAGGCATGGAAACATACAGGCAAAAATGGTTCCAGGTTTCAAAGAAAGTGGTGCTCTTACCTCTAAGCAAGCAATCTTAAACTCATGTGGAGCCCGCCTTATGACTGTCAACCAGAAACAAAGAAGATACAGTCATACAGTCGCAGTTAGCCCGCGTTATGACTCTTAAGATTTATATTTTGCACAATGAATAGAATAATTCGTAAGTGTGTGCATGCCAGTATTATTTATCTAGCTGTCAGTGACCGAAACCAGAGAGCCCAACTATGTAATAAGTGCTTACAGAAAAGTCACACTTTAGCATCATACATTTCATCAGTGGGATAAGAAAAAGATACATGTTCAGTATTATCAGAAAGGAAATTAGAATAAGATAAGCAGCTCCACACCAAGAAATAAGACTTCACCTTCACGATAGAGTGACGGAAATAATCCATCTGGCGAAATAACAACTGGTCCAGTGGGTAGAGTTTTCCCATCCTGTAAAACCCAAAAAACATCGACTGAATTCGTAGTAGTAAGAGACAGTTCAACACTTGTGCCTCTCCCCGTCACAGTAAAGTTATGGAGATAACAAACAGCAGATTGTTCTATCATTAGTGATCCAATCATACTAGAAGATATTCCATGTTGAAAATGATGACAGCAAAAAACACATACCTGCTTCAAGTTAAAAAGAAAACTTCTGGTCAGATATGCCTGGACAATTGCTCGTGCACTCAGAAACAGTAGCTGATATCCATTCTCCTGTGCAAATCACAGAATTAACTTTTCAGCACCCATTACTTAAGGAGATCACTTCCATTGGGAAGCATGTCAAACAAAAGGCTATGCTTCGACTATTCCTGGGGAACCTAACTTTGAGATGTGTGATAACAGTCTGTCGTAAAGGAGTCATAAGATAGCAGGTCATATAGTTATTTCCATCAGATGTCCTTAAAGGATTTGAAGGAGGAAGCTCTGTTATTTGCAGGAGCAACAAAATACCCCAAAAAAACCCCAATAATCCAAGTATCTTTAGAAGGCCCATCTGGCATTTCATGTTAATATGAAACAGTATTGTGGACAAATGATGTGCTGCATGATCAAGTTCATATGGGGAAAAATGAAAGAAAAAAATGAAGATGGTTTCTTTCATTTTTCCTGATAGATAAACGATCACCAAAACAAGCATCTGTGGAACAATTTTGATGCAGATGGAACTGTGAGTGCACTGTAATGAAATTGGGAAAGCAAGCATCACCTTTATTGCTGAAAAAAGCTTAGCTACTCCAGATTGTGACCAATCCTTGCCAACCAAAGGCATGAACTGGCCTAAAACATCAGACCTGGAAGAAAAAACAAGGTCTTTACTTATAATTATCTGAAAGCAGGGGTAATGAAGTCGCACTATATTGAAACAGTCTATAAAACTGAAAGATACATGTGAAGATGTTATTTAACCAAAAACACTTTCCACTTTGCCTCAGCCACCATTATCTTACGGTACAAGTACTTTAGTGCATGACTGAACTTTTTAGTGCATGTTGTTAACATGCTCATTAAATAAGAAGGCACAGGAGTTCACTAGACAACTAGGGATAAAACCATGTTCGGTGAAGGTTATAAGACCAGCTCCACAATGGAGACAAACTCAGAACACGGATGCAATTTTGAGATTATGTTGCAAGACAGACGAGGCAATTTAATAAAAGATTTTATATGAACAACCATAGTACGAACTGGAAAGCGACTCTATATATCAAAGAGACAATAGATCCAATTAGGTAAGAATGAAAAGGAACGGTACTCCCACGGCCCACAAGGTACTTGATCAGATACATCTGCTAATGGAAGAATCCTTCATATAGGATCAGACGACAGTGTCAGAAAGAAAAGTGAAAGCACTACCATCTTAGTTCTTACTAATTATTACTTGAATGATTGGTTACTGTAGCTTAGCGCACAAGGTAAACACCAATAGAATCATGCAACAGTTATGTGTCATTGGGAGTCATGCCATATAAACATCATTTATCAGTAATAATCAAAGAGGACGAAAAGCAGAGAAAAGAGGACTACAGAAAAGGAATCGAACTCCCTTACTTGGTTATTGTTCCATCAACATCAGAAATCACGATTCTAGCATTCCACTTCCACAAGTATATATGAGCATCTACCTGTTGGAATGGGTCCGGGATCAACAGTTGAACATTAAATACTTCCACAGCTAGCTGTTTATACTCAACTATGGTGGTTGTTAAGTACTGATGACAGCAGATATCCTTTGTGAACTTTACATCTTATGGGAGAGTAACAGGCAATATATTGATATGGGCTTTATCTTCTAACCAAAATATCGTAAAATGGCTTGAACTCCCTAGTGCAGTACAGAATGCTTGATGATCTGTTGTTTGTAAAATGGGATAAAAGAGCAGAACCGCAAACCTGTTGAGTGCCCAGAACTCTTGTGGAGAAACTGAATTTTATCATATTTTGGCCATCTTTCAAATTCAATGAGGCGATCTGCTCACTAGTTGGAACATTAGTCCTCACATACTGCTTGTGAGGGGACTCTATGCCAATAGAAGAAGCCGAAGGTGGCTCTGCATTTGAGTTTAAAGTTCCAGATTCAGTATCAACGAATAACTCTTCACTTGATGAGTTACTGGCAGTATGCTCAAGAGTTTTGACCCTTCTAAACGGATTAGGCCAGAGCCTCCACCTGCGACTTGTGGGCGTCGAAACCAACCCAGTTTCATCGTCTCTAGTCTCTGGATCACTTTGGTCGACAGGAATTGCATCTCTGGGCTCCACAGGAACATCTATACCAAATGCAGCCATTCCCAGGACAACCGGGGCAGCCTTTTCCCATGGCAAATACTTCTCTGCGAACCTAACAATCAACTGTTCATTCTTGATAATAGAGGTTGTAGAACTCTTAAAGTCCTCCACTGATACGCGGTGTGCTTCAAAAACTTTAGCAGCAGCCTCAAAGCCTATACCAGCGTGAAGTTCCTTCCCGCAGAGAGAGAGTTCGACCCCTGAAAGAAATAAGAAGTAAGAATAAACTTCATTCTTCAAAAGACAACTAAGGTTACAACTGAAGAAAAGAGATGGCCCGTACTTGTGCTAGAATGTGGAAAT